CCTCATCCTCACGCGACAAGAGCAGCCCCGTGTCTGGGTCCGTCTGCTGGAGCTGGAAGGGGAAACAGGCCCCCGAGATGGTCCTTTGTCACCTGGAGCTAAACTGGGTCACTGCATCCCCAGCAGCCCCGCCCCAGGGTTCCCCGGGACCTAGGTGGGCAGTGGGGTCGCAAAGAGCTCGTAGGCTGGAGCATGTGCATCCCCTGTGGGAGGCCTGGGCCTCAGCCCTTGCACCAGAACCTCAGGACTCCAACCCATGAGCACTGGGCTGGGATGTATCCCCGGGCACCGCTGGTGAGCTGGGGGGGGGGGGTGGAAATCACGCAGACACCCAGAGAAATGGAATAAAACCCAGCAGGGCAGCTGGCAAACAGAGGCAGAGAGTCACAGATCTAAGGCTGACGAGAGGGCTGACGAGAGGGTGAGCGGGCCAGGGGAGGTTGCGGGGCTGTGGGCCACCCGTCCCCCACATGCTCCCTAGATGGGGCCGACCTCACGGCCAGGATCCCGAGTCCCTGCTGGAGGTGCTGACCTGGAGAGGTTCTGGAAACTGGGGAGTGGAAACGGCTGCCCACAGAGCAAGGCCTGGACCCCGGTTCTGGCAATAAGGGGCTTCGGGATCCTCGTGGCCACTCGCTCCAACAAGCTTTGGTTTCCGCTTCTGGAAATGCGGTGGTGGGGGTGGGGCGTTTCTCGGGGTGCACCGAAGGGCCTAAGGGGGGAATAAGGTGGTGAAGGTCAGTGTGAGCCGGGCTCTCCAGCATGTCCCCGGGTGGGGTCAGTGCCTGACCACACCCCCTGCAGGAAGCAGCTAGAGGGTCCCCGCACAGGAGATTCATGCGTCTAGAAGGTTCTCTGGGCTCCCCCGGGAAGGGGCAGGTGCTTCCTGCTGGCAACACCTGCACCCGGCCGCCTGCCCCCTCCACCCACTGATGCACTGAGCCCTCGTGGCTCTGATGCCCTTCCTTGCGCTGCCACCCGCGGTTGGCAGGAGCCCGCGGTCAGACACCTGCTGGGCTGGGCCATGAGTCAGGCCCGGCCAGCGGCCCCCACGGCAGGGAAGGGTCCACGCCTCTTTGGGGCTGGGCCAGGTCAGGCTGGGGAAGTTTTGGTGTGACCAAGTTCAAGCTGGGGCTAAAGAGGGATGGTGTAGGAGCTCGTGGGTGCCCCGTGGCCCGGGACCCACGCAGGCCTGTGTCCTCACGTGGAAATAAGGGGACTTCCCTGGGCTGTCCCCAGAGCCTCTTACTGAGGATTGAAGGCCAGGGAGGAAGGGCGACTCCTGGCACCTGGGCCCCAGTCTCCCCAACCCTGACTAGGAGTGACTGACCATGGACGGTGAAGAGCTGCAGCGCCCACTGGCCCCCACTCCGTCCTTCCCAGCCGGGCTGCAGTGACCACCAGCCTCACTCCATCCTTCCCAGCCAGGTTGCAGTGACCACCAGCCTCAGTCCATCCTTCCCAGCCAGGCTGCAGTGACCACTGGCCCCTGTCCTTCCCAGCCAGGCTGCAGTGACCACTGGCTCCATCCTTCCCAGCCAGGCTGCCGCAGGGAGGCCTAGAATCACCTCCTTCCTCCCTGCTCTCCCCGAGTTCTCAGCCCCCTTTCCCAGAAGGGTGGGAACCCCAACATCTCTGATCTCTGTGCTCTAGACGTTTTCCAGAGACTTCCAGAGAAGCCCACCAACGTGGTCACAGCAGAATGCAGGGGACGGGGCCAGACCCTCCAACCCCTCTGCAGGGCTGGACCGCCTGAGAGGTATTTTCTCTTCGCAGCCCAGGCTCATGGCCCTGGGTCCTCATCCTCGACTCATACTTGCTCACTGAGTGGGATGGAGAATGCGACTGGTACCTCACCAGCTGTGTGAGATGGTTTTGCTTATGGGGAGGGGTCACATCCCGCAGTGCTCAGGGGCCATTCCTGACTCTGAGCTCAGGGCTGAACCCTAGTGGTGCTTGTGTGCTGGGGGTTCAAACCAGGCTCAGCTGCGTACCAGACAAGTGCCTAAACCCTATCTCTCCAGCCCTCGTCTGATGGTTTTAGCAAAATAACAAAAACCCTTCGCAAACCCACCACCCAGAACAGAAGCAGGACTCAGCAATAAGCAGGCACTGAGCCGTGAGTGTCCCTCACCCATACAACTCACACCCACACCCGTGCAGAGACACACCCCTGCACAGACCCTCAGAGCAATGATGCTACATCTCTGGTAGGCCAGGAACTGTGCCGGAAGCCCCTGGATGCAGATCCATCACATCCTTGGGTCCTATAAAAAGGATTCTGGGTTCCATGTCATGTCTCGGGACCATCTGGAGGTGCTGGGGGAGTGGGCATCAAACCCAAGACCTCACACATGCAAAGTGTGTGTCTCAGTGCTAAGGCATATCCCCAGGCCCGGCTCTCTGGCACTATGAAATTACCACGTAGTTTTGTGGCCCCGTGGGCCCCGGACTTTGGGCATAATATCTCACTGGGGGCGTAGACCCCCATCAGCTCCTTCGTGCCTCTTACTGAGCCCTGAAATGAAAACAGCTCCTTCGTTCTTCTGGTCGACAAACACTGATGGAATGAACACCCCCTCGGTGCTGGGTATGATGAGAAGACCCCCTCCCTCCATTTCTGGCTGTTGGACAATTTGCGTTAGTTTTTCCCTCTCTTGTTTTCAAATTAGCGTGGGGCTTTCTATAGAACCAGTCTTGTGTGGATTGAGTGAATAATTGATAATTGTTGGAAACAGACCCCAGGGCACACGGAACCTGTTTCCAGACAGAGTTAAGCAACCCCTGGCCCCGGCAAGTGCAAGCTGCCAGTCTTTCCCGTCCCTTCCGGAGCTGCTAACATTCCAGCTCTCCCAAAGGTGGATGGTCAATATTTGTTGAATTAATAATAAACTAAAGAGACTTTTTCCCCATTTGCCTCAACTGCCACCGACACATACCACCCAGGTGCACGCGGGGAAAAGCCCACACTGGTGAATTTGAGGAAGGGCCCATCAGGTCGGGGTGCTGATGCTTGGCTGGCTCTCTATGACCCCCCGGCTGACCCTTCTTCCCACCAAATCTTGGTTGGATCTGAAGCACTGAGGTCTTCATCTTCCTCATCCTCCATGCACACATCGAGTCCTAGTCCTGGCCAGCACAGCACTGTCCATCCTCGCCTCCAATCCCGAGCTGACTCCTGCCGCCCCCTCCTCAACCATGACCTTGGCTGTGAATTCTGCGGGGTACCCAGCATGCTCCCATCTTTCCAGGTTGTCCTGCCTACAGCTTCCTCCAGCCCCACTCCCTGCTGACCTGTCTCATCCGGGCCCTTCTCCCATCCTGCCCTAATTATTTCTTGTTTGCCTTTGAACCCACAACTCTTAGAGGAGTGTCTGATGCCGCAAAGGCACTCAACAAATATTAGTTTAATACTTCAACCTACCCCGACGGGTCATGAGACAATGGGTGTCAGTCCTTCCCTTGCATCTGAGCGAGCTGGATGCCAGGGCTCTGCCGTCGGTTAGGCGCTGTTGGCTGCGTGGGGGTGATGGGCAGGGTTATTGCTACCTGGGTCTCGTCTCTGGGCTGGGAAGGCTGGCCCAGTCACTGTGGGGAAGTCGCCAGTGAAAGCAATGCAGGACCTGGAGCTCAGACCCAATTGTCTCTCTCTGGTCTCCACCTGACCTGGAGCTCAGACCCAGTTGTCATTCTCTGGTCTCCAGTGACAACTGGGTCTGACCAAGTCCCGTGGGAAACACTGGGGACATAAAGGCCTGAGCTGGGAGCGAGGCTCCTGGCCAGAGCGCCTGCCGGGCAGATGTGAGTTTGCACCCTGGCCCGCCTCCCATGCCAATGTAATCCTAGTGGTCCGGCCATAGTGTCCTTCAGTCCACAAGAGTGAGGTTTCCAGGGGCTCCTTAAGCACAAGAAAGGAGTGGCGAGAGGAAGGAGTGGGAGCAACCCCTCCTCACCACAAGAGAGGGTTTCACCAGGGCCCCGGGCATCCAGGGGGAAGAGCCCAGGCAAGTGTGAGGCTGGCACTGCCCACAGATGCCCCCCTGCACAGCAGCATCTGAAGTAGATGTTGTCACTCCCAATTTTCTGAAGGCAAACTGAGGTCCAGACGGGTTTCTGGAGCAGAGTCTGTGTTCCAGCTCTGCCCTTGCAGGCTCGACACTGCCCACAGTCTGGCATCACTGAAGGGCAGAGCTGGCACATCCCTCGAGCAAGCAGGAGCTCCTTCTTGATTCCCGCATCTGCTGTGATCAGCCAGGGGTGCGGCCAACACACAACCCCGACCCGGGACACCCCCTGCCCGGGGAGAGAGGGAGCATCTCCTTCCCGGCTGGAAACTTCCAGGCTTGAGCAGCTCCCGCCCCTCCCTGGTGTGTACCTGACCTGAGCAGACAGTGAGTCCATGGGTAGAGGAGGTCTCCTTGGGGTAACCTGCAACCCACCCCGACCCCCCCAGCCCGGGGCATCCCCCAAGATCCCGGAAAGAGAGATCGTGAAGGAGGCAGAGGGCTGTGGGCAAGACAGCAGCGTGGGTACTGGGGGAGTGGGCACTGGGGGATGGGGCAGTGAGAAGCACACACAGGGGCAGCTATGGAAGGACAGAGGGCACCTGTGTCCACTGAGTCTGCAACTCGAAAGTATGCCACTGTGGGCTGGAGATTCTGTCTGTTTTATTTGGTCTGTGTGGAGAAATCCCGGAGTTTGAACTGGCATCCATGAGGAGTAAAGACCCCCAGCATCCCTCGGCTCTCGGGAAGCCCAGGGTCCGCCCTGTGGGTAATTTTTTGGGGGGAGGGGTCACATCTGGCAATGCCCAGGGGCTACTCCTGGCTCTGCACTCAGGAATTACCCTTGGCGGTGCTCAGGGGACTATACGGGATGCTGGGAATCGAACCTGGGTCGGCCGCATGCAAGGAAAACACCCTACCCACTGTGCTATCGCTCCAGCACCCTGCCCTGTGTTTTAAGCAAATATCTGACGGCCAACCGTGGGTTGACAGAAGATGAGCGTGGAGCAGACGCCACCTTGGAAACTGGACCAGGGGCTGGAGGGTCAGTGCGGGAAGGCAGTGTGCTGGCCTTGCGTGCAGCTGGCCTGGATTCAATCCCTGGGCACCCCCTCTGACCTACCAAGCCATGCCAGGAGTGATCCCTGAGCACAGAGACAACCAGGAGTAAACCCTGAGCACCACCAGGTGTGGCCCCCACACCGAAGAAATCAATCAGCAGTAAGAGTGGCTCAGAGAGGCAACAGTGCAACACACAGCCAACTCCGTGGGCTCTGAATTCTCCCAGGACTGTTGCCATGGACCTCCAGAGCCGCAGCTTGTATTTTGAACCAAATCCCCGGTGGCCACGCAACGTCCTGACCTAGACCCACCAGGGCGTAGGGGTGAAGACCCAGCCCCCGACTCGGCCCCGACATCCCTGGGCTCCTCTCACAGGCTCTTTCTCCTTCCATTCCAGGACCCAGACAGCGGCCAGCCCTTGAACCGCCGTGGTAAGCTCCGTCCAGCTCCCTTGCTGGCCATCGGCCTCTGGGGCATGGCGAGTGACTGCATGGATTCCCACCCCACCTGCTGCACAGACCAAACCACCCCCTAGTACCAGCTGCCCTGCAGGGCATCCACGTGTCACTCGTGGGCAGATGGTTGGGGCTGTGGAGTGGGGGGTGGGATTCACAAGCCTCTGGGGAAGCAGCCTTGAGAAACGGGAGCCCTGAGGGCCAATACGGGCCTTCAGCCGCTAGGTGGGAGTGCCCACCAGGTGTCAGGCGGGATGCTGGACTACAGCAGGAGCACAGACCGCCACCCCCCACTCCCCACCCTCCAACTCCATCACGCAGCCCAGAGATAAGCGGGACTCAGGCATCTTTGTTCTAGAAGGGCGGGGCTGGCTGGTGGACAGGAGAAACGGAGCCAACAGCTTTCCTCCCTCCTCTCCTGCTTCCTTAAGCCACGGGTGCCCCCTCCTGAGAGCCTGGAGTGGCAGGCCACTGAGCAGAGGAGAATAATGACCAAGAAGGATGTCCATAAGGAAGTGGCCCGGCCCATGACTCTGACAGATGTTAGGGTGACACACCACTTGGGTCCCCCAGGGCATCAGCCCCATTTGTGCTTGGGCGTTTAGTAGACCAGGACACCCCAGAGACCCCCAGCCTCTGCCTTCTGAGGCTCCAACCCCCTTAACATGGAGAGGGGGCTGCCAGTGACAAGTTCGCTGTGAAGAAAATACCAAAGCAGAGAAGGCAGAGAGGAAATGCTGGAAGATTTGGGTAGGGGCACATCCAGCAGTACTTAGGGTCGGGGGGACCCTATGCTGTGCCCAGGGACCTATCGTGGGTCAAGTGCATGCAAGGCGAGCGCCCTCCCCACATTGTCATCTCTCCAGACCAGAAGGTTCTGGGAATCAAGGAAGGCTTCCCTGAGAAGGGGGAGGAGGAGCGTGGAGCAAGTAGGGTGTCCAGCCCCTGCCCCAGGCTCCTGAGTCTGCCCTACTGCCTTGCCCTCCCTGGAGAAGTCTTCACCTTCCTGCAGGGAGATTGGGTTCATGGGAATTATTTCTGCTCCTACTTGAGGATGTCACTTTCCCAGCCACTCTCTGCACCCCCCCGCGTCCCCCAGCAGAGTGGAGCAGGCGGCTGGTACAGCCTCTGTGTCCATCAGTGTCCTCCTCCCCTGCCCACACCCCAGACACCTGGGTCTGCATCCATCACTTCCTGGATGGAAGTTCCCCCTTGGTTAATTACTCATGGGGGTCCTATCTCTGCCGCTCAGGCACTTTGCAGGGTCCCTCACAGCCCTTGGGATAAAAGCCAACCCCCGGGCACTTGGCTCCACTCTCCAGACCCACCTGGCCCATCCCCCTTGCTCAGCACTCTCTGTCCCCCTTCCAACCTAGCCCTCCCCCCCCCCCCCAGCTCCCAGTTCCCGGAGCCTCAGCCCGGCTGTCCGCCTCCTCCCACCCCCTCCTCCGCCTCCGGAGGCCCCATTAAGTGCCTCGCTGCTGTCTCTGTTGTCACTCAGATCCATCATCTCCCACCTTGTCACCCTGTCCCCGTTTGCCTCTTCCCCCAAACTGGAATCACCTTAGAGACAAGAACTTTCCCGGGAGTCCCGGAGAAGCCTTCAGGATCATCGTGCACGGGGACTGACTAACATGGTGCACGAGCAAAACCCGGCCGCTGTAGCGCCAAACGGCCAACAGGGGGTGTGGGGAAAGCAGGTGGAAGCCAGGCTCCTGGCCCCACTGGGCAGTCCGGAGGAACATTCTAGAACGGACTAAGTCAGAGGTGGGGAGGAGGCTCTGGGAGAGCATCTGCAGTCGGGGGTGAACAGAGGCTGGTGATGCCCAGCTTTGCCCTCAAGTGTCCAGAGCATCCCTGCAGCTCAGCGGCAGGGACTGGCGGGCAGGTGGACTGCAGGCCTCGGCGGGGGGCACCTCTAAGCGCTGACCACTGGTATTCCCTCCCCTCACAGGTGCTTCCCGGCTGCACAAAGGCCGCAGTCCCCTGGAGGCTTTCAAAAAGGTGGGCGTCCCCATCATCGCGGCGCTGTTGAGCCTGGCGACCATCGTCATCGTGGCCGTCCTCAGTAAGTGGACACCCTCCCCTCCCCTCTCCTCCCCGGGCTCCCCTCGCACCTCTGAGCACCCCCAGATCCACGTGAAGCTCCCTGCTTGGAAGGGAGCAGAGGCAGGTGAGCGCCGCCCCCGCCAGGCCCGGTGCAGCCTTCCCCTGAGAACACCCCACAGAGAGCTCAAACCTGCAGCCCTGCCCCCTCGCTGCTGCACAGCCCTCGGGCAGGGAACCTCTTCTCGGGAGCAGGGGCGCCAGCAGGACCCCCCACCCCAGCCCCCGGTTAGCTCGGTCCTCATCACGGGACCCAAAGGGCACCAAGAAGCAAGGATGAGCATCTTCCTGCCTGCTCCCCTCCTCGCTGCTCCTGGCAAAGTCCCGGTCACAGCATCACACGTGGCCAGCGGGACCAGACTCAGGCCCTGCATGGCCCCTGACTGTTGTGTGACCCTGAGTGAGCCCCATCCTCTCTGAACCTCAGTTCCCTCATCTGCCTTGCTCCCTGCCTCTCCTCCGTGTGCCCAAGGACCAGAGAGATAGCCAGCCTCAAGGCCTCCAGAGATGAGTGGATTCTGCCAAACTCCCTGCGGTCATCGCGTGGAGAACCAAGACGTGAGCAAGACCACGCGCTAGGCAGCCCGGGCTCTCGGAGGCCGGTGCAGGTGGACCTGGTGGCATCTCCACGGGGGCCATTCCCAGCCACCGCCTGTTAGGAGACTCTCAGCATGTCTGCGCAAGCCCTTGGGTGCCAGAGAGGAGCAGCTGTGATATGGGAGAGTCGGCAGGTCCTGGCTGAGCACCCCGCTTCCCTCTCAGGCTGGACAGTGCAGATGCCACACCAGCTAGACCCCAGGACCGGGCGAGACTCTGGACACCCCGAGATCGTGGCCCTTGACCTCGGCTCAGAGTCCTGGAGCGGCCTTGCTGGGGCGCGGGGCACATCCTGATGGAAGAAGGGCCAGGCCAGGTGCCAGGCGTCTCCCTAGCCTGCTGGGCAGCAGGGAACTGTTCCTCCAGCCTGGGCTCACTCAGCCTTTTGGCTTCCAGAGTCTCCATGCAGCATCCTGGCTTCTTCCCAGGCTGGGATGACCCTGTCTGCCTCTGGCTCTGGCCCACGATGCAGAGCCTGAAGCTCTAGTAAATACCCACCTACCTGGAAGCTGGTGCCTCGGAGTCCTCAGGGGGCATGTGGAGGACAGCCAAGCGCTCTGCAGCCAGACAGCGAGCCCCGTCCCGGCTCTGCCCACTAAGCGCCACGGGGTTGGGGGGGGAATGAGTGGATTATCTGAGTTCTTGGGGGTACACCTGAGCTCTCTCAACCTCACTGTCCCCACCAATCCTCTGAGGAATTTAGGCGCCTCCACAAGTTGTGCATGGTCGGTAGAGAGTTTTTATGCCTGGAACGTTCTGGAAGGTGTTGCAATATCATTGGCCAGAGAGTTAGAAACTCCAGACTCAAGGCCAGGGAAATGGCTCAGTGGGCGAGGCCCAGCATCAGTCCCCGGACCCCCCAGGCTGCCCCGGGTCTGAAAGAGTGCTCCTGAGCACTGCAGGGTGTGGCCCCCCAGTCCCCCCAAATGAATTAAAATAAAAACTCTCCATGTATTCCCGTCAGCCTTGGAGGCTGCAGAACAGGAGAATTCAAAGGCAGAAGACAAGATGAGACACCTGCCTGCGCCTCTCCACTGAGAGATGAACCTCCTGCAGTTTGCTTCCGGTTCTGGTTCTGGTTCTGGTCGATTGGAATCCTCGGAGTGTCCTGCTGCCTAACCAGCCATAAAGCAACTTTGTCGTAAAAGAGACCATATATCGCCACTATGAGACATGGCCAGGGGACGGTGTAGTGGCCAGGGTGCCGGCCTCGCAGGTCTCCTGGCTTTGATCCCAGCACCAGGTTGGATCCTTGAACACAGGACAGGAGTGAGCCCTGAGCACCACAGGCTGTGGCCCCAAAACAGAAACACAGAAAGTTTCTCTGCTTTGGTCAAGTGCCTCCCCGCGTTAGATGAGGCACCAGGTGTGAGCCCGTGTCAGCTGGTGAACCCCCGCCAGGGGTGGGCAGGCAGGTGTGATGCTGTTCCTCCTCGTTCAGGGGCATCTGTCCCCAGGGTCACAGCTGGGTGGCATTGAGACGTTCCCTCCGGTGCTCAGTTCTTGGAGACCAAATCATCAGGACACCAAACCAACCGAGAGACCTGGTCATCAGGGTTGGGGGCCGGATGTCCCAGTCTGTCCTTGTCCCCTGCATCACCACGGAGCATCAGGGCTGCCTCGGCAGCTGCAGGAAGCTCAGACTGAGGAATGGCGCCACCATTTCTTTTCCGGAGGCTGGAAATGCTTGAGTCCTCTCTTACCTCGAACTTCTACCCTTGGGGCAACGATGCTTTCAAGATGGCCCTGGAGGAGGGTCTCTCTGACATCATGGAAGGATTTCTGTTGGCATAGAGGCCCAAGAAGTGGGACGGGGTGAAGGTGCACACTTGGTGTGCGCCGACCCAGGTTCGATCCCTGAGCACTGCCGGAAGCGACTCCCAGGCAGAGCCCCTGAGCATGGCTGGGAATGACGCTAAATGACAGCATGTAACGCCCTCCATGAAGGATCTACCAGCCACCAACTTCCTCTCCACCAGTACCGGGAGCTTTGGGTTTTGGGGGGCACTTCGGGTTTCGCAGGCAGAGGGGAAGACTGCTTCGCTCTTAGACTTGCAAATGGACCCATGGTCATTCCCCAGTCTCACGCCTGCATTTTCTTTTTCTTTCTTTTTTTTTTTAATTTGCTTTTTGGGTCACACCCAGCAATGCACAGGAGTTATTCCTGGTATTACTCCTGCACTCAGGAATTATTCCTGGCAGTGCTTGGGGGACCATATGGGATGCTGGGAATCAAACCCCGGTTGGCCGCATGCAAGGCCCTACCTGCTGTGCTATTGCTCCAGCTTCGCATGCCTGCATTTTCTACCCAGCCCACCATGCTAGCCGTTGTTACCCTCCTCAGCTTCAAGATAGCCCTGTCTGGTGGGGGCTGGAAACCCCACTGGAGGGCCATGCTGGAAACCAAATGGTCAAACCAATCGTTTGTCTAACAAGGCGACATTGCCTAACGGCCAAAGTAACCATGGGGAAAGAAGGTGTGGACACAGATCAGAGCTTCAGGGTCTGGGTCCATACTGCATGATTCTGCGATGCTTCGTGGCCATCAGCTCACCAAGCATCCTCCAAACCCTGCAAAGTTGGGGTGTCACCCTCCCAGCACACAGGAGGTCAGGGAGGCCAGGAAGGGAAGTACGGGTGCCCCGCAGGCATGCAGAGGACAGGCCCACACTGTCCCCTCCCATCCGCACTCCCGGGGTTGGCAGAGGCCGTGGCTATATTTCCTGATTCCTCAGCTCTCTCCAGGTAAGGAGCTGGTCTTCGGGCTGAACTGTTTCCTCCTGAGACAGACAAAAAAGTGAGGTTACCAGCTCCTACGTGCCAACCTGAGTCTAGAGCCACACCTGCCTTCTCCCTGCATGGCCCCTATATAAGGAAACCCGGGCTCTCCCAGACCCGCTGGGCGACGTGCTAGACCCTCTCTGCCCCTTGCAGTCAAGGTGATTCTGGACAAGCACTACTTCCTCTGCCCGCCTTTGCGCTTCATCCCCCGAAGGCTGGTGTGTGACGGGCAGCAGGACTGTGCCTCGGGGGAGGATGAGCAGCATTGCGTCGAGACCTTCCCCAGCGACGATGGTCCTTCCTTGGCAGCAGGTGCGTCCCAGGGCTCGGCCCCAAAGGTGGTTCCAGTTGGGGTCCCACCGTCTGCCACCGCCTTCCGAAGGAGGCTGGAGGCGAGGGTCTCGTCCTGTCTGTGCTGATGAGCCAGTGCCACGTGGTCTGGTGGCCACGCCAGAGTTTGGGGCGCTCACAGGGTAGACTCTGTGGGAGCTGGACCAGGTGACCTTGCCCTGAGCTGACCCCATTTCCTTCCCTCCCAGTTCGCCTCTCCAAGGACCGCTCCACCCTGCAGGTGCTGGACGCCCCCACGGGCAACTGGGTCTCCGTCTGCTTCGACAACTTCACAGAAGCTCTGGCCAGGACAGCCTGTGGGCAGATGGGCTACGACAGGTACCAGCACCCCTAAGAGCCCTCTCTTCCTCTGGCCATCCTCTGCCTCCCGACTCCCTGCCTTCCTTAAAACTAGAGATCTTGGGACTGGAGTCATAGCTCCACGGAGAAGGCTTTTGCTTTGCACGCGGCTGTCCCGGGTTCAATCCCTGGCATCCCATATGGTCCCCTGAGCACCTCCAGGAGTAATTCCTGAGTGCAGAGCCAGGAGTAACCCTTGAGCATCACTGGGTGTGACCCAAAAAGCAAAACAAAAAAATAGAGATCTTGGGGCTAGAACGATAATACAGTGGGGAGAGGTACTTGCCTTGCATGCTGTCAACCCAGGTTCAATCCTCAGTATCCCATATGATCCCCCAAGTTCCACCAAGAGTGATCCCTGAGCATTGAACCAGGAGTAATCCCTGAGCACCATCAGCATGGCCCCTGAGGCAGAAGTAAAGATCTGGGGCTAGAGTGCTGGGGCTAGCAGGTAGGGTGCTTGCCCTGCACGTGGCCAACCTGGGTTTGATCTCTCGTGTCCTATTTGGTCTCACGAGCACCACCAGGAATAGTTCCTGAGTGCAGATCCAGGAGTAAGCCCTGGGCATCACCAAGGGTAGCCCCAAACCCAACATAGATAAAATCAAGATCTTGCATGAATCTGCTCTGCATCTCTGTGCTTACACACAGAAGCTCTGTGAAGGTTCATTGACTGTTGATTGGGGAAAAGAATGCCCCCCTAGCGGGATGGTTCTCAGGCACCAGCCAGAGAACACACATGGGCCCTGCTCCCCAGCGGGGCTGCCCACTCAGCTGCCCTCACTTTCCCTTCCTCCCTCTTGGGTCTGCGAGAAGCCGGTCCTGTCCGGCACAGAATCTTATTTACCTTGCCCAAGTCTCCGCGGTTCCATTTTCCTTGAAACAAACCTGAGCTCCTGGGGGCCCACCGGCAACCCCGGCTCTCAGCACATGTTCAAAGGCAGATCCAAATCTTCAGCGGATGCAAAAGTATATAATTATAATAAGGCTCATTAGCATCCTATAGTTATATTCGTCTGATCTTGGCAAAATCCAAAAAAAAAAGGTAGTTATTATTCTATCTATTTTCTGATTAGGTTCAGGGGAGGTAAGTCACCAGGAGGGAGAGGGCTGGAACGTGCCCAATTCTCACCCCCCACTTCCCGGGATGCGGAAGCCGGTGTCTTGAGTTTGGGGCCACCCTCCCTTCTGCTGGGGGCTTCATCGCTGTCAAGGTCAAGATAAGGTCAGAGACCAAAAGGAGAGGGTGGGGGACAGTCCCTGCATTCAGTGGCGGTGGGGTGACATCTACCTGCAAGACCCCAGCTGTCTCCGGATTCTGAGAAACTGAGCCAGGGACAGGTGGGAAGAGAGAAATACTCGACAGACATCATCAGTCCATCTCAGAATGCTCCGGTCGATCCTTCAAGCCGCCTCTAGGATCTGGCTCAGTCACTGCCCGCAGCTCTGACCACCCCCTCTGCACTCCCCCCCTTCCCAGCCTCCCCGTGTGCCTTACCCAGCGCCCTCTGCCAGAGGACACCCCGAAACCAACAGTCATTTTGGACGAGGGCCAAGAAGGCTTGCCCTTCCCAGCGCCCAGCAGCCAGCCCCGCCCAGCGCCTCCCTGCAGCTGCCTCCCCCACCCCCACCCCTGCAGCCGCCAACTGCCAACTGCAATGTCAGCTGGATGTACCGAGCCCCACGGCTGCGGCTCAGTTATGAAACCAGCTGTCTCCTGGGCTTCCTGAGGTAATCAGCTCCTGGCACCGTGTCCTGCCCGCACTCACGGAGGCCACCAACCCACCTGGATTGGCAGTCCTGTGAGATCAAAGGGGGTCAGAATTGTTCCTCAGGATGGAATTGGTGGGCAGAGGTTCCCCTGGGGAAGGTGACCGCCTGCTGGACCCCCTGCCGCGTCTCAGCACTCTCCACTCTCTCCTTCCTCCCACAAAACCATAGATGACTCAAGGTGAGGGTATTCCAGAGAACATCCTCTCAGGGGAAACTGAGGCCAAGACTCCCACGGGAGGAATGTGACCCACCAGGGTTACACGTCACACAAGTGTCACAACCAAGACAAGCACCTCTGTCTTGAACATCAACGCAAAACCCAGGAACCTCAGAGCCTTGGGTTGGTCTGAGCTCTGATTCAGACCTTGGACTAGCACAACTGGATGAGGAAGGATGGGAGAAGCAAGGAAAGGGGAGGCCCGTTCAGTAAAGAAACCATCAGAGGGCGACTAATCAGGGAAGCCTTCCTGAAGGAGGAAGACTTAAACTCAAGATCTGAAAGAAGATCAATGTGTATCTAGCAGGAGAGCAAGAGTGAGGGAGGGCCAAAAAGAAAAAATATTTATATGTACCAAAAAGATGACCCCCATCCTCTCCTTTGGGGGGTGCTGAGTGCCAACTTCCACGCCACATGCCTACACACACACACACACACACACACACACACACACACACACACACTTCCCAACTCAAGCAAGATGCCGTGTTTGGAGCAAACCAGAGGAGGGAGAAATTCTCCAGGTCCCTTGACCAAGTCGTTCACTCCTCTGTGAACTGGAAGAGCACGTGGAACACTTGAACTCTGGAGAGAGCTGGGCTGACCATCTCTGACCAACAGTTCTCCCGAGCTCCAAGTTCTGGTCCAGGCTTCCTGCAAGGCCAGTGGACCCTAGGGCTGGGCCCTGCCATGCCAAGGTCCCTTATCAGAGAGCAAAGCAGCTGCCACCTTCCCTAACCAAGACCACCCATCCCCTGCCAGGTCTCAAGGACTCCCCTGCCCTCCCTCTCCAAGGAAGGGGATTACTCTCCGCCCTCCCCCCCCCCCCCCCCCGCTCATCCGCTCCCTCCTTCTGGATTTGAACAGCAAACCCACCTTCCGAGCCGTGCAGATTGGCCCCGACCAGGATCTGGATGTCTTGAGCGTCACAGGGGACCACGGGGAACTGCAGGTGGGAAATTCCAGCGGGTGAGTAAAATGTCCCCTGCTGGACCAAAGAGGACTTGCAGGTGGGGGAGGAGGATGGGGTGGGGTGAAGGAAGGGGGATATGATCCAGGCACCCTCCTCCCCCCTGGGGAGCAGCTTCTTAGATCCCCACACTGGAGGAACACATTTCAGGGAGATATGGGCTATGGGCCCCAGTTTTGGAAGTTGGGGCCATACCCGGTGATGCACTCAGGAATCACTCCTGGCGGGCTTGGGGGGCCATATAGAATGCCAGGGATTGAACCCGGGTCATCTGTGTGCAAGGCAAGTGCCTAACCCACTATGCCACGGCTCTGGACCCATGACCCTGTTATTCAACAAAACAAAACAAAGCAAAACAGTACACTGCTGCTTGGGCCAGCAACGCTGGTGGCCACCAGGGCCACACATGCCCACAGTGCTGGCCAGTAGGGAGACGGGCACCACTGGGGATCAGAGTTGGAGCCCGGTGATGCCCTTTGGACCATCTCTCCAGCCCCCAAATTTGTAATGCAGTGGACAGCCAGACAGAAGTGCTGGCCACACTATGGTGGCCTTATCATCTGCCAAAGAGTCAAAGCAACTTTTTCTCCACTTGCCTGGTCTGCCTGAGCAGGCCCAGTGCACTAGATTCTGAAGGCCCCAGTCAGTGTCAGGCCTACCATATTCCCGGCCTATGGGGAAGGGACTTACGGTCCTTGTCTTTGTTGTTTGTTTTATTTTGGGCCAGAACAGGTGGTGCAAAGGGCTTACTCCTGGTGGGCACAGGGACCGTTCCTGGTAGTGCTCGGTGGACCACTTGGGGTGCCGGGGCTGGAACCCCGGTCAGCTGCATGCCAGGAAAATACCCTCCCCACTGTGCTATCACCACAGCCTTTGTCAGCGCCCCCTCACTGCCTTAGAGCTAGGCGAACGTTGGCTTCTTGGCACATGGGGTGCTCACTGCATCCAGAGTGACCCCCTTAAAGGACGGGGTGGGAGCAGAAAGAGAGCTGGCCTGGGATTCCAGCAAAACCCCCTTCCTCTTCCGCTGGGCAAACCCTCTGGGCAACAGGCCCTGTCCAGGCTCCGCCATCCTCTACTCTTGCTGCCCTTCCAGCACCTGGGCTGGATTGCTGCAGGCAAGGCCCCGTATACAGCAGGTGCCTAATTGTGGAGTGTTGCAAGCAACGGAACTAAGTCCAGTTGAGCTGAGCACCAGAGCCCTTTCTAGACTCGGCTTGAATCCGGCTGTCCCTATGCTCAGGAGGGGCCTTGAATCAGTAGAAGCAGGAGCTGGGGGTCCCTACCTCCAGGACCCTCTCTGGGAGAAGCAGAAACCGCAGTCACTGTCTTCTTTCCAGACCCTGTGTCTCGGGCTCCCTGGTGTCCCTGCAGTGTCTGGGTGAGTGGCCCTGTCTCCTACCCACGGAGGGTCCCCTCATGGATTGGAACCGGGGCTGGCAGACCCTCTCAGCTCCAGGGTCACTACGGGGGACTGTCCTTGGTGCTGGGGCCCTCTGGGGGAAGCGGGGGAGGGGGGTGAGGTGAGCTCCTTCCAACTGCCCGTGCCCAGCGCCCGCACTCCAAGAGCCAGCCTCTTGGAATCTTGTTCCCCAGAGGTTGGAAGGGGAAGTCCTCAGAGCAAAGGAGTTTCCAGTGGGAAGATCCAGTTTCTGGAACCTTCTTCCCTCTTGCCAGGCAGCTCGTGGGCGTCTGTTTACTGTTACTCAGTGGGAGTGGCTGGGCAGGGCTCTTGCCTTTGTGGGTTGCGGGCTGGGTTGCGGCGCTGGGTTGCCGGGTGAGCCCATGGAGGCCATGGGGGACAGGCCAGTGTCCCCTGGCCCCGGGAACTGTTTTGCAATGGTCCTCGCTGCCTTCCAGGTCTCCTCACGGGACTCGCCCAAGACAGGTGTGGGGTCCTCAGGAGAGGCTGACCCTGACTCTCCCTCTTTCCTACCCACTCCAGCCTGTGGGGAGAGTCTGAAGGCCCCCCGCGTGGTGGGCGGGGAGAAGGCCTCGGTGGACTCCTGGCCCTGGCAAGTCAGCATTCAGTATGAGAAGCAACACATCTGCGGGGGGAGCGTCCTGGACCCCCACTGGATCCTCACGGCCGCCCACTGCTTCCGGTGAGGCCCCGGGGCCCCTCTCTCACCTTTGCTGTCCTCCTGCTGGGTGGAGTGGCCTCAGAGAGACTCTAGACTTAATGTCCCCTGGGAGGCCCTGGGGACCTGCAGAGGGTGCTGGCACCACCCCAGCCCACACCCATGTCCTTGGCACCACTCTTTAGGAAGTGGTTCTGGGGTCACGAGTCACAGCTGTTCCTCGTGATGTCCAGAAACTCATAAAAATACTCTAGATTCCCCTAGCATCGGCTAATCAGAGAGCCCAGCCCTGAATCTGGGAAGGTCCTCTCTGGGCCACGTGCCCTTCATTCATTCCTCATCCAACATCTTCTTTCATTCATCACACGTCTGTTCTAATTGTTGGGGGGGGGGGATCCCCTTCCAGCAATTCCCGGCCAGCCATGCCAGTGGTTCAATGACCACAGATGACCCTGGCCACCCCAGCGGTACTGGGCTAGGGCTGCAGCCAGCGATGCTCAGCGGATCGTAAATGGTGCTGGAGCTCAAACCAGACTCAGCCACAGGCCAGGCAGGTGCTTTACCCCCTGTACTTGCTCTCCGGTCCCCACACAATATCTGCACTTCAAACATTCATCATCTTCACTTTACTCATTCCCCGGCATTAGAGAGGGGCCCCTCTCAGCTGCCCCGCGCAGGAGGCCCAGCCAACCGCCCCCCCCCCCCCCCAGAGGAACTCAGGCGAAGCCCGTGATGCCTAATCTTTTCTGGGAATCTGACAAAAAGGCAATAAATCCATTCCTGGAAAACCTCTGTGCACGCAGAGCTGTGCCCAGCGTCGGGAGGAGGAAAGACAAGGACACACGCAAGGGGACATGGATGAGTGGATGGGAGAAAAGCAGCAGAGAGCACCAAAGGGTGGAATGCGGGCAGCTCGGGTGCAGAGTGGGGTCCCCAAGGCCGGAACTGGGGGGTCTGCTAGGGCAGGTTGCACGGGAGCAAAACAGAGGCCACTGTCTTTGAGAACTTGGCTCGTGGCCCACCACTCCTGCCCCTACCTGCTTCATCTACCAGCGCAGGGACACCCAGGACCTCCCGATCCCCAGGGCTCGGGGGGGGGGGGGGGGGGGTTGCTGTTGCCAGCTTTGCCCGCGCTTGACTGAACCCCACTGTCTGCCTCCAGGAAGCATCTTGATGTGTCCAACTGGAAGGTGCGGGCTGGCTCGGACCAGCTGGGTAACTTTCCCTCCCTGCCGGTGGCCAAGATTCTCGTCATCCGGCACAACTCCACGTACCCCAAAGAAAAGGACATCGCCCTCGTGAAGCTGCAGTCTCCCCTCATATTCTCGGGTGAGCTGCAGGGCCGCAGGTGCCTTCGTTCACAGCGGATAGACGGGCTCAGCATTGCATTGCAGAGGCCAAGGGGTTGGCTGGGACCGACCCTCTGATCGGCCTGAAGTTCTCCTGAGTTGTTTCTTTTTTCTTTTTTAAGAAATACATTTTATTTATTTATTTTTGCTTTTTGGGTCGCACCCAGTGATGCTCAGAGGTTACCCCTGGCAGTGCTCAGGGGACCCAACGGGATGCTAGGAATTGAACCCGGGTTGGCCGTGTGCAAGGCAAATGCCCTACCCGCTGTGCTACCACTGCAGTCCATTTCTTTCTTTCTTTTTTCTTTTTGGGTCACACCCGGTGATGCTCAGGGATTACTCCTGTCTCTGCACTCAGGAATTACTTCTGGCGGTGCTTGGGGGACCATATGGGATGCTGGGAATCAACCCAGGTTGGCCGCGTGCAAGGCAAACGCCCTACCCGCTGTGCTATCACTCCAGCCCACCCCCCCGTTTCTTTTTTCTGTTAATTTGGTTTTTGTTGTTGTTTGTGTGCCACACCCAGCAGTGCTCAAGGGTTACTCCTGGCTCTGTGCTCAGTAATCATTCCCGACAATGCCCGCAGGGACCATATGAGGTGCCGGGGATTGAACCCGCATCTGCCGCATGTGAGGCAAACGCCCTCCCCTCGGTCCTATGGCTCTGCCCCACATTTGGGAAACATTTTTGTACTAGAACTTCCCCCACTCTTTTCTTTTCTGTTTTTGGTTTTGTTTTCATTCTGGTCACACCCAGCAATTAAGCCTGGCTCTGTGTTCAGAAATGACTCCTGGCCGTGCTCTGGGAACTGTATGGGATGCCGGGGATTAAACTCAAACCCAGGTCAACCTTGTGCAAGGCAAACACCCTCCCTGCTAAACTATTGCTCTGGCCCATTAGCTCTTTTCTTGAGGCCTATTACATATCTGTATGGTGTATTTTTTTTTAAATTTTAAGATTTTTAAAATTTTACTCACACTGCAGACTTGACCACAGAAGTGTTTTCTTTCTTTCTGTGCATGTGTGTGTGTGCATGTATGTGTGTGGTCTTGATTTTGGGGCCATTCTTGTGGGACTGGGAGGCCCATATGGTGCTAGGGACAAACCCAGGGCCCCAGGCTGTGTATGATTCATGCCTTCTGACTCTTTGAGCCATTTCACACCCAGACCCTCTTTGTTCCTCTCACTCTCCCGGACCATGTGTGTGTCAATCACCCTGGGCTCTCCCAAGCCTTGGGTCCCTGTTCCCCTCTGTCCTGACAGGCACAGTCAGGCCCATCTGCTTGCCTTTCTTTGATGAAGAGCTCAGCCCAGGCACCCCGCTCTGGGTCATCGGATGGGGCTTCACAGAGCAAGACGGAGGTAAGACCTGGGTTTGGGACCACAGGCCAAGGGAGGGAGAAGGACCATTCATCAGAAAAGCCCCATCCTGAAAGTCCAGGCACCAAAGTGGCTGGGGTGAACAGGCTTTTGAAGATGTTTCCCACCTCCCAGGGAAGATGTCTGATTCACTGCTACAGGCGTCAGTCAAGGTGATTGACAGCACGCGGTGTAATGCTGAGGATGCGTACCAGGGGGAAGTTACTGAGAAGATGCTGTGTGCGGGCATCCTGGAGGGCGGCGTGGACACCTGCCAGGTGGGACCCGTGAGGATCCTGAGAGAATTCTGTGGCTAGAGCTGCTGTGTGCAGAGAGTGGTGAAATAGTCCTAAGGTTGGATGTCCCGTCCAGAGAATGTCTCTGGTTACCATTGTGTGTAGGGAAGAAAGGAGAGAGGGAGGATTCTCTAGTCAGATAAAAAAGATAAGAAAGGATGTGTGCATACACGGGGGTGAGTGAATGGATGGATGGTTGGATGGATGATGGATGGATGAGGGTGGTGAATGGGTGGATGGGAGGGTGGATTGATGGATGGGTGAATGAGGAGTGGATGGGTGGATGGATGGATGAAGGGTGGGTGGATGGATGGATTCATTGGTGGATTGTTGGATGGGTGGATGCGTTGGTGGATCAATGGTTTGATGTATGGATGGATGGATGTATGGATGGATGGATGGATGGATGGATGGATGGATGGGTGATAGAACAAATAGGTGAATGCATGCATGGAGGCAAGCAGAAAGATTCCAAATGTGTATTTTCCATACAAAGATGGCATCACCCTTCCTACACTTGGTTCCCTCATCTTCAGGAGTGTAGGTCCCCAGAGAATAGGAACCCTGGGAGGGTCTGTTTTCCCTGGAACCGTCCTCAAGCAGCTGAACCAAAAGCCATCTCATGCTATGAGACCTGCAGTGATGTCCCCCTCATTCCTCCTCATCCATTCTTACTTCCTGCATACCAGGAGATCTCCTGAGCCATTTTCATTCAAACCTCTGGCCCTGCTGCCCCCTTTCTGAGTCATTAAGTCCCTGGACTTGAAAGGTGTCTCTTGGATGATGGCTCTGTGCTGGGCTTTGAGAAGTGTCTTCAGGGAACTTGGAGTGTAGGGTGTGCACCCCAGTTAGCCTTAGAATCATGGAGGAAGGCCTAGGGGCTGTCAGAGCTGCTTAGAAAGATACCCAGATAAGGACTTTCCATCACCCACTGTTTCCTGGACTCTCGTTTGGCGTCTTGTGGCCTGTGGCATCTGTCTGTCTCTGCCTCTGTCTCTCTCCCGCTTTTCATCTGCACCTAAGCTCCCTGACGCAGGGCTCTGGGTCTTGTGTTTGATGGAAGTACAGTTGTCTACAACAGCCTCTGGCCGTTCTTAGCTATGTGAGAAACTCCGGGTTAAACCCTGATGCTCCCTCCATGCATTGCTCCAGACTTCTGTTCCCACCTGTGATCCCAGATATCCGTCAGGAGATTGCCCTCAACCTCCCTGCAGAGAGAAAGGCACCCCCCAAAGGGACGGACCTTCCAAGCTTTGTCATGGTTGGTGGGGGAGGGAGATACAGGAGGGGGTTGGACTGCAGAGGGAGTGCAGGGGTGGGGAATCATGCAGGGGGGTGGAGGAACCCACCTCCCAGCCCCCTCCATCCTCCCAGTAACCCCTGCTCTGACCTTCCTCAGGGAGACAGCGGGGGTCCCCTGATGTATCACTCTAAGCAGTGGCAAGTGGTGGGCATCGTGAGCTGGGGCCATGGCTGTGGGGGTCCGAGCACCCCTGGAGTGTACACCAAGGTCACAGCTTATCTCGACTGGATCTACAGCGCCCGGAAGGTGAGCCACCCCCAATCGGCTGGGAGATAGCCAGGTGAGGAGCACATTCCTAGCACGTGTGAGGCCCAGGATTTGACCCCTCCCCCCTCCCACACCCCCCCCCCCCAAACACACAGCACTACGCAGTATAGCCAGTGACATCCAGCCAACCATGGGGGCCCACAGCAAGAATGAAAGAGTGAAAACTGCTAAGATCAGAGGGTCCTAACAAACACTCTGGACAAATACCTGCTGCTGATCACGTCTCTGTTTCCTGGCCCCACACAGTGAGGCCATCAGATACTGTTGGGGGAATAGACTGATAGGAAGGGGGTGGGCGGGCCCCTGAGGCTTCCCCAAGGCCGAGAGGAGCAAAGAGCAGGAAGGAGGAAGATGCTGGGAGTGGGGGGAGGGGGGTTCCCATCCCCACAGGCCTCCGACTTACCCTTCCCTCTGCTTTCTTCCAGTCTGTGCCATGATGCCGCACTGGACACAGCTTCCCCCTGACGCACTGGACACAGCTTCCCTCTACCCAGGCCACCTAGGGGCAGCCCCTTCCCCTGAATCACCCACAGACCAAGGCCCACTGTGTCCCCATTCTACACATGACCTCATGATCTCTAAGGGTGGCAAAGGACTCCTGTAAGAGACCCCCCAGCCCATGGGCACCCTGGAACAAGGCTATAGCCTGGCCTCGCCACCCCCCAGTGCTGAAGTGCTATGAGGTAGAAGACGTGGCTAAGCCAAGAAGGGCCTTGACGACTGTCTTGGGTTGAAGGAGACTCTTGGGTGAGAGTTGACGCACACAAGGCAGGCCTGGAGGGAGGGTCTGCGCCACCCAGCGCCAGCCTGCCCGAGTGTGAACCCAATGGAACGGGACCTGTGTGTCCACCCGCTACTGTGGAGGGTGCGGTGACCGGGGACGCCACAGCTATTAAACAGGTGCCATGTCTGACCCAGACTGACTGTGTGCTTAGATCCAAGGAGGGTCTGGAGAGCGGGCTCGAGGGGGCAGAGCACACGGACTACATGCAGGAACCCCTTGAGCACTGCTTGGAGCAGCTCTGAGCACCACAGTATGTGGCTTCCTGAAAAACCCAGAAAGAGAAAGATCAGAGTGAGGGAGACTTGGACCCCGTCTGCGTGGAGCCCATAGACTGGCAAGTACTGGCAGAGGGGAAAGGAGACACGGAGATCAGAGCTGAGGAGCAGGGCAACAGTGAGCAATGGACTGGGGCACCGGGGGAGCAAGCCCCTCTCCCTTCCTCTCTGCCCGTGAAAGCAGCTGAGCTTCCCCACCATCACACACACACACACACACACACACACACACACACACACACACACACACACACCACACACCACTCTTAACAGCTGGAGACCTGGGAGAGGGTGTGCATGTGACACTCTGGCTCCCCAGGTGGTGGAAACAGGTATTGCACCTCGGAATCCCACCTCCTCAGCTTTGGAGGGGCCGGCTGTCATTCCTGGTTTATATTTTGGTTTGCATCCCTCCCCGTAAGTCATTTCTGTGGATTGTTTTGTTGGTTTTCCATACTACGGAATGCCAGAGGCTTATCTTCGTACCTCCCTGTGTAGCCAGGGCACAGAATCACCCCTGACTTTCCTGGTGGGGCAGCAGCTTTCTGGTACCATCGCCCCCACCCCCACCCTGCAAAAGATGCCTTTGCCCGGCGTTCATTCGTTAAGCTGCTGACATAGATGTATCGCCTGCTGATAGAGGCAGTCCAGAGCTAGGCTTGGGGAGAGAAACATTTGCTTCTGGGGGCCAGAGAGACAGTATAGTGGGTAGGGTATTTGCCTTGCATACAAGTGACCGGGGTTTGATCGCCAGCATCCCATATGGTCCCCCCAGGCAGTACCAGTTGTAATTCCTGAGTGCAGACCCAGTAAGATGAGTTCAGGAATCCTTGAGCGCCGCTGAGTGTGGCCCAGGAATGAACAGAAATAAATAGAAAAACAAACATTTGCCACTGCCTCACCTCCCGAACAAAGTGTGACCTCCAGGAAAGTCCAGAAGCCCTGCAGCCTGTCCAAGTGTCTGTCCCCCACCAACTCCCCGTCCCCAGACTCCCGGTGGGGGTGCCCATGGATGGAAGGAGGGGAGGTCTGCTTCCAGGCCTGACTCAGGACACTAACTTCCGACCCCCAGCCATTTAGGGATAGTTCCAAGGACTGAGGGAGAAGACAGAGACACAGAGAAGATTCTAGATCACCGCAGAGTGACCTCCTGGAGAGATCAAGGAGCAGGCAGAGTAGAATCGCATTCAAAGGGTCTGTTTCAGGGCTCAGTGGTGGGGTGTGCTTTGTGGGCATGAGGCCCTGGGACTGACCCCCAGCAGCCGAAGACCAGTTATCCTGACCCTGTTTCATCCCGGTTTCTAGAGTTAGGTCCATCTGTGGCTCCTCTTGGGGACACCAGCAGCACAACAGAGCGCAGATCAGAGCAGATGGCATTCCCTGAGTGACGTTTCTCAGACGAGTACCTGCCAAGGCACTCAGCAGTACTAGCCACGTTGCAGAGTCGCTAAGGCAGGTTGGTCACCTCTTTCGTGGGGTTGGGGGGCACCTTGCGGGGGTTCCAAATTATGACCAAACTCTGCAATATAGGGGGGCGCTGTAGCAATGATTCTTTTTTTGGGGGGGATCACATCTCGAGATTCTCAGAGCTTACTCCTGGCTCTGTGCTCAGGGCTCGGGGAACCATGTGGGATGCCGGGGATCAAACCGGGGTTGGCCACATGCAAGGCAAGCTTTCTACCCACTGTACCATCACTCTGGCCCCTCAGTGACCCCATCTTGAGAGGCACCTTACCAGCTACTCCAGAGAAGATGTTCAACCAGACTGCCTACCCCACTTCCCATGAACCCCCTTGGCAAGCAGCCCTCAGACCCCAGACAGAAACTCAATGAAGACAGGGGTCCTAGCGGCAGCTGGCGAGTACTAACCCAGCAGACCCAACAGGGAGACCCCAAACCATTTCTATTAAACATAGTGTTTATTTCATCCAAGGCAAAGCTAAGTAAAAGTCTACAATGCAAAACGGATTATAAAGGCAAGACTGCCCGTCGCGTCCATTCTGTGCTTAGACCCAAGGCCGGGTTGGGCTGTGCCCAAAGCGCCTCCCAGAGGCGCCCACGCCGTGTCACTCTGATCGGAGGCCCCCAAGGCCCCTGAGAGGCATCATTTTGATCTAGAGTTCTATAGGAAGGTTGACTATGAGTATTGTCATCCCAGCCAGAGGAGAAACCATGCATAAGATAGTCAAAAGCAAGGGATCTCAGGTGGGGAGGTGGGCGGGAGGCGGTGGGCGGGGACTCCAACCTGGGACAACGGGAAGTGAAGCAGCTGTAAGGGTCTCCCAGCCGTCCTGACCTGTCCCCCACTCTGGTGCCAGTGACCCGAGATGGAGTCATGGAGCCCTGAGCCATGCGGCTTCTCCCCTTGGTCTCTCGTCCCTTCTCAGCCTCCAGGTCCCTCGGAAGGTCCAGACCAGCAAGACTGGCCCCTAAGACAGGCACCCTCAGCCAATCCATGCACCATCCCGCACCCCACAATGGCCCTTTTCACACCCACCTGCATGACCCACTCAGTCCGCTCGGGGAGAAAACCTGAGAAAACCCAGACCTGGCTTCTTCCAAGGGAAGTGGAGAAAGACTGGCCTCCGGCTCCTGGGTTTCATGGTCAGCATAGCGACCTGCACCAGGGGATCCTAAGGCCACTCACCCCAGGGGGCAGGACTGTGCTCAGGTGTGGGGACCAAGTGGAGCAACTCCTAATGCCCCCTTTGAGAAATGCCCATCATACCCCAAGCAACAGGGCAATGCCAAGTGGCCCCATAGACGCTGGAGTGCAAAATGGCCCAGAAAAAGCCACAGAGAGAAGCCTTGAGCCTCGAGTCATGGGAGCTCACGTTTGAAAGACTGGGATGGAGCCACGGAACATGGCCACACTCAAGGCCGCACATGCGTGAGGTCCTGGGTTCATCCCTGATGCCACAAAAATAATAAATGAATGAATAAATAAAGGCTAAGATAATTCCAAAGGAGTAGGATGGAAGGATGGAGAGAGAGAGAGAGAGAGAGAGAGAGAGAGAGAGAGAGAGAGAGAGAGAGAAGGCAGGATTAATGAACAACCCCCTCCACCAACCCCCATGAAACCTGGCTCCCTAGGTCCTTCAAAAACCCATCACACCTCACGACTGTTTGTGAGGTAGCTAAGTATCAAGCCCATTTTACAGATGGAAAAGCTGAGCTCAGAGAAGGGGCGGGGCCTGTCTGTGCGGAAGTCCAGAAGCAAGGGACACTGCTCTGCAGCCGGCTGGGGTCTTGGGGTCATGGAGGACCCCTGGCCAGTGTGTGCCCCAAACCCTGGTTCTAGGAAGGCCCCACAGGCGGGCAGCAGCTACAGTCCGTCTGCTTCCCTGCTGGGAAGATCTGGGTCCTGAGGGACAGGGCAGCGAGTGTGCCAGCCACCAAGACAAGGGAGGTCGGGCTCCCCCAGTCTCTGGAAGACGAGGCTCCTCTTTCTGTTCCTCCCTGGGGCCCAGAGCAGGTGGGGAGGAGCCAGGTGCGTCTCCATGGGGGCATCAGTCCTGGCCATGGCAGCTCTCTGCATCCTGCCCTGCTCTGGGGGGCAGAGTCGGGGCAAAGGCACAGACCAGCCCCCCTACACACACGGGGTGTGCAAAGCAGTCTTAGAAAAGCAAAGGAGAAGGAGGGTGCCCCCGCCAGTTTCTCCCCAGCCCTGGGGAGGCCGAGGGGGATGGTACAGCTGGGCAGAAAGCGGCCCCCAAACCCCGGGCTGAAGGACAGCCCTGGACAGCGAGGAGGAGGCCACCTGGGCAGGAACAAGGGGTGGGGACATGTGGACAGAGAAAGGGGGGGCAGGGGGAGGGGCCTGGGTGACCCTTCCTGGGGCCCAGAGACCTGGCATGGAGCCCGGGGGAGAAGCGCAGGAAAAGGGCCTCTGGAAGGCTGAGGTCCCTCATGAGCACCTCGAGAACCCAGAAATTGGGGGAGCTCGGGCTCCCCCAAGACTAGCTGAGGATGAGAGGGGGGCAGAGGTTCAAAGCGGGGGGCCGAGACTGAGGGAACGGAAATTCCTCAGCAGAGGGATGTGGGGGTCCCCATGGAGGCCTCCCGCATTGGAATCCCCCAGAAGTCACCACCCCCATCCCACACCGACTCCTCCAGCCATCACACCCCGACGTTTTCCTTCTCTAAATGTCACCCAGCTCTTGGGGGCCCTCACTGAGCCCCCAGCCTCTCCTGCAGAGCCGTCTGTGGGGAAACTCAGGCTTTGCCCCTGGAGGGTCGGGGAGACTCAGGAAGACCCCACGACTCAAGTGTTGGGGGACCAGCCCCTCCATTCTCTTCCTGAGCCCCCCCCGCAACCCCTGGCCAGCCCTTGTCCCCAAGAAGCCCTGGCTGGGAAGGGGGTGTGGGAGGCCGGGCAGGACCCCGCTTCCACCTGCCCGGAAGTTCTACATTGGAGCCGAGCAGCGGATGTCTCAGGCGTGTGGGGTCGCGGGCACGACACGGCTCAAGCATCGGTCTCAGCGTCAGGCAGCGGGGCCCCCAGAGGCTGCTCGGCCCCCCGCAGGGGTTCACACTTTGGTGGGGGGCTTCTCTTCTGCCTTGGAGCCAGGGAGGCCATTCTCTGTGTTGTCATTGCCTGAGGAGCTCACCAGGCACTCCTTCCTGTGGGAGAAACGGGGGGACACGGGTCAGGTGCCCGGGCCTCGCATTTCATCCCCAGTCTTCTGTGGGGCGAAGGGAGATGGAGGCCCCACCTCGCACCTTTGTTTCCTCCACTATCCCGTGCAGGGAATGTGGCCCTCTGGGGGAGCAGCCCCTGCCCCTTCTTTAGAACAATACCTGGCGTGTGAAAACCAGGCGGGAAGTTCAGCAGCTCAAAGTGGCGGAAGTGCAGGCTGTTCCCAGGCACCAGGGCTGCTGGGAAGGTCCCCCGTACTCCCGGGGTGGGCCAACCCCAAGCCCTGTGCAAAGATGCTCCTTCCTCCCCGCCTCCAGTGTGAGGGGCCACAGAAGGAGCAGAGACGGGCCCAGCAGGCCGAAGGGCTGGCATCAAGGGTGGCAGGACAGAGGCAGCAGGAAGGGGAGATGGTTTATTGGGGAGACATCACCCGCTCTCCAGAAGCGTCACCCTATGACGGCCCCACACGGGGCTTGGTCCAGTTTAAGAGCATCAGGGTGCAGGACAGTGCCCAGGCGGGCCAGGAGGCTTTCACTCTGTCACTTACTCCCGGCTCGTGGACACAGCTGGGTCTCTGCCCAGCAGCTACTCTGTGCTGTCTGCCTCCCTGGGATGGGTAGCCAGGCTGGAGGCCTTCAGGAAGGACTAGGTCAGTCTTACTCTCATTCATCTTGTCCTGCAGGGTTCTGTCCAGAGTGCCAGCCCTATTGAGATCCTCTGAGATCTCAGATTTCTTCCCCAGTGCTCCCTAGACTATGTGATATGGCATCCCTCATGTGGCTAAAATCCGAATAATTAAAAAAAAGAACACGCAGGGTCCTGCGGCATACCACAAAGACCTTGACACAAATGAGTCTGTCTACCACCCACCATCCATTCACCATCCATCCATCTATCCATCCACCCAATACTCCTCCATCCATCCATCTATCCACCCATCTATCACTACCCTCCACCCATCCATCCATCCATCCATCCATCCATCTATCTACCTATCCATCAATCCACCCATCCCTTTACCACCCTTCATCCATCTATCCATCCATTCATTGATCCACCTATTTCTCCACCTACCCCCTCTCCATCTATCCACCCACCATCCATCTCTCCACCTACCCTCTATCCACCCACCACCCTCCATCCATCCATCCATCCATCGATCCATCTACCCACCATCCATTCATCCCTCACACAATACCCCCTTCCTCCACCCATCTACTCACCACCCTCCACCCATCTACCCATCCATCTATCCATCCCTCTAGACATTCACTTGTCCATCTAACAATCCACCGACCCACTCTCTATCACCTCTCTGTTACTTAATCTCTATTCCTCTATCATCCATTTATTATCCATCATCCATCTACTATCTCTAATGTTCTATTCCTAGGGAATAGTGCACCCATCCATCCCAACCCACCTTGCTCGACTCTCCAACAGTCCATTTTCCATTTCTGATAACCTGCTGGGTACCAGCCCTGCATCAGGAGGCTAGGTGGGGGTATTGCGACTGTACATGTCACCTGCTCCCAGAAAGCCCTCGGTCTGCCAGGGACTGGAACAGTGACCAGCTGATGGCAGATGGCAGTGAATGACAGCAAATGTGTGTGTGTGTGTGTGTGTGTGTGTGTGTGTGTGCGCGCGCACACGCGCGCTTGCAGTGTACCAAGGAACCCAATACAGATGTTCTTTCGAGGGCAATCTTTGGAAGTCTCCAGTCTGCTGAGACCAGGAACATTGGTCAGGAAAAGAGTGGGGACATTCCAGGCAGAAGTGACCCGGAAGTGATCCTGCAGAGCCTCTGTCTGCTCCCCTGCTCTTTGTACATCCCCACCTCCCGCCTCCACCACTCCTGCAGGCTTTCCATCATTAAAGCCCCCTCTCCTGCTTCCTGTCTCGACCGCCCAGTCCTCCTGCCCTCCAAGGCCAGACCCTTTGTTCCCAAGTGCTCAGATGGTGCCAGGCCCTGCCAGCCCTCACCAGCTCTCCTGCAGACAATCTCAGCCTGTTCTCCCGCCTCGAGCACTTCCTCACCTGGCAGTTCCCTTCTCCCCGCTCCTCTGGGTGAAACTTCTTTTCACCTTTCCCAGGGTTTCGATTCTACCCATCTTACCAGACTACCACACACATTTCTTTGGCCAGAGAGCCTTGCCTGATACCTCACCCTCCCCTAAAAACCTCCCAGCTTCTTTTTGTTTGTTTTTTTGGGGGGGATTTAGGGGCCCCACCCAGCAGTGCTCAGAGGTTATTCCTGGCTCTGCACTCAGGAATCACCCTTGGCGGTGCTTGGGGAGCCATACGGGATTTCGGGGATTGAACCCGGGTCCCCCTCTGGACTATGACTCGGGCCCATAAACACCCCCCCTTCCCTCCCCTCCCATCACACACACACACACACACACACACACACACACACACACACATTCCAGGGTGACACACTCTGCTGACATGCTTTTCCTATGGGCCACCTTCCTTACTGAAGGGCAGAACGACAATCCTTTCTGAATTTTCTCGAAAGCCTGGTGGAGTGTGCCAGCAGCACACGACCCACAGGACCCGGGAAGCAGCTGAGAGAAGAAGGAAGGGCCCTCTGTGCCCACTGAGTCAGGAGGGTTGAAGCTTTGAAGTCAAACAAGCCAGCAGGCAAATCCCAGCTCCGTCTTTTCCGAGTGGCACGGCCCCACACACATCCTGCAGCCCCTCTGAGCCGCACTGGGCTCAAGTGTAGCATAGAGGGTTGGGTATAGAAATGCCTGATAGAGTGTCTCATCTCTTCTCATAGGTTCTCCGTGAACGAGAGGGATTACTATTGTCATCAGCCGTTTCCAATTCAGCAGCACCCAGCCGGGGCCGCTGGGTTTTCCGTGACCCCCACAGTGACCTCAGGAGCCCTGGGTTCTTTTAGAAGTGCTTTTAGAAAAAAGGTGGTCTCCAATTCTGTCCACAGAAAAAGTGGTCATTAAAAAGAGCAAAGTACAAAAGGTAAGGCATTTGCCTTGCATGGGGACCAACCCGGGTTTAATCTCTGCACCCCAGGTGGTCCCCTGAGCACCACCAGGAGTGATCCCTGAGCACAGAGCTAGGAGTCAGCCCTGAGCACAGTCAGGTGTGCCCCCCCACCAGAAAAAAAAAAGGGAAAAATAGTTTCTGCAAACTCGTTTCTATCCCTGGCACTGCATATGGTCCTCTGAGCTCCACCAGGAGTGATCCCTGCGCACAGTGCCAGGAGTAAGCCCTGAGCATTGTGGTGGGCATGTGGTCCAAAATGAGAGAGGGGGGTGGAGAGAGAGAGAGAGAGAGAGAGAGAGAGAGAGAGAGAGAGAGAGAGAAAGAGAGAGAGAGAGAGAGAGAGAGAGAGAGAGAGAGAGACTGAGGGGAAAAAACAGGTGCCGGGAAATAGAACCAGCAGTGAGGGCGTATGCCCAACCCAGGTTCTATTCCTGGCACCACATGGTCCCCTTAGAACAGGGATGTGGCCCTCGAGACCCTCAGCACCGCCAAGGTAGCGGGTCTCCCCGGCACTGTGGGACCCCAGTGAACCACAGCCCTACTGGCTGTGAAGAATTCGCTGAGGTAGGGAGCGTGGCAGGCTTCCTGAGTAAACAGTATTTTGGGGAGATCTCTACCTCACAAAAATAAAGAGAGGGGGGGATCCTGGACCCGTTCAAGATTTCCCCAACCCTCAGGGACAAAGGGAGACGCTCCTGGAGTCCCTCTGGGCCAGCACCCGTGGAATCGTGTTTCTCGGGGAATAGATGGTTGGGGAGCTCTGGGCTGGGGAGGTCCTGAGGGGCTGCGTGGGAGACTGGGGCCGGGGGGCAGGGAGCAGGGGTCTGGCTGCTGTCAGTGAGCTGCGGGTCCACTAAGGCTGTACCTGTGGGAGGATGGGGGAGAGGGGGCGTTAGGAGGGGACCAGTCAGGGGGACGGGGTAGGCGAGAGCCGGAGGGGAGGCAGCTATGCTACTGGGGACCCCAGCCAGGAGAACGGGGTGGGGGTGGGGAGCAGGGGCCGGGCGCGGCACGGCCGACTCACTTCTTCTCCTGAGTCTTCTTAATGATGAAGGTGATCAGCTTCTTGACCAGCATGATGAAGACCAGGAGCCCGATGAAGCCCCCCACAGCAGCCAGGATGATGAGTGTCACCGTGTTGTCCACTTCTTCCACTGTGTGGCCAGAGCAGGAAAAGAGGGGTGTGTGGGGGTGGGGGGACTGGGCGGTCAGACTCCCCTAGACCCCGGGGTCACAGGCTCCAGCACCAGTCCCCAACCCATCCGCTGCGGTCAGCATCAGAGCCACTCAGCGAGGCATCAGGCTCCAGGGGAGTCTCCCCCAGCAGTGCTTAGGGACTACTCCCAGTACAGTGCTCAGGAGTCACTCCCAGAATTCCTGTGCCCCTGGAGCCTCTACCCAGCCAGGGCTAAGAACTTGTCCTTGTGCCTGTCCTTGTCACTGTGTGTGTGGTGCCCCTAATTCACACAGTGACTTTCCTGTCCTTGTCCAACCCTGAACTGGCAGTTCTTTACTGGGGGGGGGGGGGGGGGGGCACGATGATTGGATTGGTGTCACACCATAGTGCTCCTGGCTCTGTGCTCAGCAGTCACTCCCAGTCAGCCCTGAAGACCTGATGCAGTGTTGCCGGGGTTCAAACTCCGGTCAGCTGCATGCAAGACCAGTGCCTTCTCCCTCTATTATCTCTCTAGCCCCTGGAGTGTCAGTTCTTCGAGGACAAGCCTGAACACCCTCCAGTGCTCTGTACTCAGATCCAGAACCTGGAGACCATGTATGCTGATGGCCCACACATGTGCAGTAATCAGAACACCCAAACCCCAAGGATGGAGGAAACCAGTGAACCAGGGGCCAAATAAGTATTCCAGGCACATCATTAGAAATTTCCAGATGAATTTTCAGTCCTTTTTATTTTTTGGGGGGTACACATCTGGCAGTGCTCAGGGGTTCCTCCTGCCTCTGCGCTCAGGAATTACTCCTGGTGAGCTCAGAGGACCATATGGGATGTCGGGGACTGAACCTGGGTCATCCGCATGCAAAGCAAATGCTCTCTCCGCTGTACTATCTCTCTGGCCCCAGCCCAGCCCCTCTTGGAAGTGAAGTGACAGAAAACAGAGATGGGAGGGGGGAGGGGCTTCATGTTAGATCCCTCACTTTGTGGGAGGCCTTGGGGTCCGTCCCTGGTACCACAAATAAAATTTTAAAAAATTTTATTGTCATTGTTTTATGTTTTTTGTTGTTGTTGTTGTTTGGTTTTGTTTTATTATTTATTTATTTTTTTTTTGGTTCACATTCGTCAGTACTTCCTAGGGCTTACTTACTTTCAGGGCTTACTTCCTAGCTCTGCACTCAGGGATCACTTCTGGTTTCAAGAACCCAGTGGATAGGGAGCTTGCCTTGTGAGCTTGCCGTGTACAAGGCAAGCTCCCTGTCCACTGTACTATTGTTCTGGCTTTAAAAAAAAATGATCTTAAGGCAGACTGGGGGTGGGGATGGGAAGGAGGGAAATTGGGGACATAGGTGGTGGGAAATGTGCACTGTTGAAGGGAACGGGTGTTGGAACATTGTATAACTGAAATCCTATCATGAACAACTTTGTATCTCATGGTGATGTAATTTTTAAAAAATTAATTGCAGGGGCTGGAGAGATAGCACAGCAGGCAGGGCGTTTGCCTTGCACGCGGCCAACCCAGGTTCGATTCCCAGCATCCCATATGGTTCGTCCCCCGAGCACCGCCAGGAGTAATTCCTGAGTGCAGAGCCAGGAGTAACCCCTGTGCATCGCCAGGTGTGACCCCCCCGCAAAAATTAATTGCAGCCTTTAGCGTTACCCTGAGTCAGGCACCCGGCCCCTCCCTCCCAGCCATCTTTCCCTAGCACCGTCCACCCCTCCCCCATCCTTCCCTACTCGTCCAGCCTTGCCTACATTTATCGACGACCTGGAGGAAGATGGTGGCCTGGTGCTCCAGGAAGTTCTCCTTGGGGTTCTTGGCGTGGCAGGTGTATTTCCCCGTGTCAGTGAACTCCAGGTCGCGCAACAGGATGGAGATGTTGTTCACCTTCTCCTTGGTCGACCCCTCCAGCGTGATGCGGTCGTCATTCTTCAGCTTCACCCTGGGGTCAGACTTCTCATTCTTCACTGTGCCGTCGATGAGCTGCGTGGGTGAGAGGAGAGCAGAGGATCGGGGTCCTTTGGGGTCCTCGAGGGCCCAGTGTGTGCCTGGCCCACTCCCCCAGGGTCCTTCCCAAGGCCCTTTGCCCGGAGATGGTGTGGCCGGCTTCTAACTGGCAGCGTTCCATACTGCTTTCTTCCTGAACGCCTGATGCCAAGCCGCCGGCTAACACCACATGTGGGTCCCTTGGATACCCCACCTTACCCCCACAGACCCCAAAGACCCACGTCTTTGGCACTTCATCAGCTCAGAATGGATTTCTGGGGGCCCCCATGATGGCGGGGCCCCTGGGAGCGTGTAGAGTGGGTGCTCACAGGTTCTCCCCGACCAGTCTAACCCACTCCCCCTTCCCCTTCTTCCTCCTCGGGGACATCTTCTCCATTTGGGGGTAGGTGTGGGCCATGCCTGACTGTGCTCAGGGTTGACTCCTTGCTCTGTGCTCAGGAATCACTCCGGGTAATGTTCAGAAGACCATATGGGGTACCAGGGATTGAGTCCAGGTTAGCTGCGTGCCAAGCCAGCACCATCCCCTCTGGACTGTCTCTCCGGTCCCTGGGCTCCCCCTCTTCCAACAACTCTGGGGTATTGGATCCTTTTCCTGCTTGGAGTGTGCTCACCCCAAACCCCCAAACCTTCGTAAGCCTCCTTCCCTCGCTGTGTCCTGTTCTGTTTCAGTGGAGTCCGGGATAGAACCCAGGGGGCCTCTGACATGCACTGGGCCACAGAGCGACCCGCCCAGGGCAGCTCCTGCTTCCGTAAGTCCCATCAAGCCTTTCCCATGAGCCTTGGTATTTCTTCCATCCAGACAGAGGATACAGGCAGACCCTGTAATCTGGCATTGGCATCTAAGCTTCCCCCCACTTCTAGGAAGGCTCTGAGATGCCCACAGGGGTCCCTGGGAGGAGCAAAGGGGGTCCTGGGGCCACCAGAACAGAGGGGAGATGCCCACGGGGGTCCCCAGGAGGAGCAAAGGGGGTCCTGGGGCCACCAGAACAGAGGGGAGATGCCCATGGGGGTCCCCGGGAGGAGCAAAGGGGATCCTGGGGCCACCAGAACAGAGGGGAGATGCCTACGGGGGTCCCCGGGAGGAGCAAAGGGGGTCCTGGGGCCACCAGAACAGAAGGGAGATGCCCACAGGGGTCCCCGGGAGGAGTAAAGGGGGTCCTGGGGCCACCAGAACAGAAGGGAGCGGGGAGGGGCTGGGGGGCAGGGCTGAGGCTGGGGCTGTAGCCCCCCCCCCCCCGCCCATCCATCCCGTTGCTCACGATTCTGTAGGTGTCACTGCTGTTGTAGGACCACCAGAAGCGAAGGTTCTCGAAGCCAAAGCAGCTGGAGAAGGTGCAGGGCAGCAGGACCTCGGTGCCATTGACGGCGTAGATGGTGGCCGCCTTCCCCACGGACACCTCAAGCGACAGGGACACAGGGAGCAGGAGGAGGCCTGCGGCGGGGAGTGGGGGCACCTCCTTAGTAAGACCCCACCCGACAGCCCTCTCCCGCAGGGCGGCCTTCTTCAGGAAGGGGCTGTCAGCCTGGCGGGTGGCTGGGCCAGGCAGGAAGGACCCTGTCACCTGGGCTGTGCTCACTTTAGGACACTCTGTGCTTCAAGGGCACTGTCGCGCCACCGCACCCCCTCCCCAAATTGTCCCTTGTGCCCCTCTCAACCTGAGGGGGGACCCAAGTCCCTTCAGCAGCGCTGGGAGTCACCAGCAGAGGTCACTCAATCCAAGAAAATGAGCTCCCTGCCGCAGGGCTGGGGTTCAGTCCCAGGAAAGCTGTCCCCACACCCCACCCGGGAGGGTGTCCCTGTTTTCCCCCCTTGCACTTTGGAGCACGGGGGATAGGGGAGCCCTTAGTCTCCTCCTTCTGCAAGCTACAGAGGTTTGGGGGAGGGGACTGAATGAGAGAGAAGCAGCCCCCTGAAGCCTGGGGAGTTCCCAGCTTGTGAGGGTGGACAGGCAAAGGGACCCCCTCACCCCCGTTCTTGCCCGCTGAGTCTGGTGTCTGGCAATGACAGCCCAGAGAACAGAATGGGGCGCTGAGGGCTGGGCTGGGTGTGGGGGGGGCTAGGTGTGGAAATGGGGGGGATGGAGGTGACCTGTCCCAGAGATCAGGCGAGGCTGGCGGGGGAGGCGGCACTAGGTTCTGGGTGGCCAGTCTTGCCACTGTCCCCATCCCCATCCCTTCTAATCTTTCCTCACTCCTGGTCCTGGGAATGTCCAGAACCTTCCTCTCTCTCCTATGCCCAGTGCCTTAAGCCCCCCCGCCCTGAAGCGAAGCCCAAGTGTGCTCAGCTGAGTCCCTGCCTCATCCTGCAGACACTTTACCTCTAGGGGAGGGAGGGGATGCCCTGGCTCCAGGGATCTCAGACGGCGGGAGCTTGGCTCAGATCCCAAGCAACCCCCATAACAATGCAACACCACACACACACACACACACACACACACACACACACACACACACAGAACCAAAACAGTGGAGCCTGGAAACTTGCATTGCTTAAAAGCAGGAACAGGAGCCAGATCTCAGAGGTTCTTTGACAACTGCTTTGCTGGGGGTTCACACATATTCTCCCTGACACTCACTAGCTGCCCAAAGTCAGGCAGAGCCCTTCTCTGGACAGATGAAGAAGTTGAGGCCCAGAGAACATAAAGCAACAAAATAGGAGACTAGCACCCAAGAATGGCCGAGATTAGTACCAGAAATTTTGCTCCATGGCTTGGAGGCCAGCCACACATGCTAGGGGAAAAGGCAGCTCAGATGGAGAAGGGAGCACCAAATAAAGGGTGTTGGGAGGATCCTCCCAGGATGGGAGAAGCATGCTGAAAGTAGACTATAGACCGAACATGATTGCCACTCAATGCCTCTTTTGCAAACCACAACACTCAAAAGGAGAGAGAGAACAAAATGGAACTCCCTGCCACAGAGGCAGGGTGGGATGGGGGGGGATGGGAGGTGGGAGGGATACTGGGATCCGTGGTGGTGGGAAATGGGCACTGGTGGTGGGATGGGTATTTGATCATTGTATAATTGAAACCCAAGCACAAAATTTGTAAGTCTACAACTGTACTTCATGGTGTCTCACTAATAAAAATTTAAAAAAAAAAAGAATACATTGACTTATTTTTTTTTCTTTTTGGGTCACACCTCGCAATGCACAGGGGTTACTCCTGGCTCTGCACTCAGGAGTTACTCCTGGCAGTGCTCAGGGGACCATATGGGATGCTGGGAATCGAACCCGGGTTGGCCGCGTGCAAGGCAAACGCCCTACCTGCTGTGCTATCTCTCCACCCCCTACATTGACTTATTAAAAAAAAAGAAAAGTTGAGACCCAGAGAGGTCAGGTGACTGGCACCAAGTCACACAGCACTGGGGAGTCCGGGCCAGGGCCCTGGCTCATGAACAGGGAGGTCACCGCAGACAGCCTCATCCCTGCCTCCTGGTGAGCCACGAGGCAGAGCTCGTTCTCCCCTCAACATACAAATCACAGAAATGGAGCAGCACAGTGAACTCAGGGGCCCAGCATGGGAGCGAATGGCAGCCAACTTTATGGCACGGCCCCGGTGGACTGCACTGCCTGCAGAGCCCTCAGCCAGGGCCCCGAGGATGTGGGGTGCAGCCTGCCTGCCTGCCTCCTTTCCTTCCCTCTCTCCCTCCTTCCCTCCCTCCCTCCCTCTCTTCCTCCCATTCCTTCCTTCCTCCCATTCCTTCCTTCTCTCTTTCTTTCTCTTTTTCTCTCTCTCTCATTTTTCTTTCTTGTTTCTTCCTGTCTCTTTTCTTTTTCTTTCATTCTCTCTTCCTCTCTATTTAATTTCATCCTTTTTCCCTTTCTGCATCCCTTTCTTTCCTTTCTCTCCCTTTCTTCTTCCGTCCTTCCTCCCTTTCTTCCTTTCATTCTGTTTCTTCACTCAGCCGTGCTCATGGCTCACTCCTGACTCTGCTCAAGGATCAGTCCTGGCAGGCTCACAAGTCCCTCTGTGGAGTCAGGGATGAAGCTTGGCACCTTGATCCCTGCTCGCTCTCTTCACACTCCGACCCCAGCCAGATGTCGGGAGCAGCTCCGGGTTCTCCCATCCAGTAGAAAAGATGACCTCCTGGTGGGAGAACCCCACCATTTCCCACTCCCCACTAGCCCCCCAACCAAGCCCCGAGGGTGGCAGAGGACTGGTGGGAAAGAAGAGCCTCTAGGAGCCCAGGCCTCCCCCCAAACCCAGGCAGGAGAGCATCTGGCCCCAAGGAGCACTGCACCGGGAGAACAAGGCTCAGACACCCCTGTGTGAGGACAAGACAGGGGGACCCAAGTCAGGGGTCAACGCCCCCCCTTCGCCCCCGTGCGCTCAGAAGCAGGATCCCAGAGCTCCAAAGATGCTGCTTGCGTCCGAAGTGAGAGCCTTGTGGCTGCTTTGACACCACCAAACCGAACCGAACCAAACCTACCTGAACCGAACCAAACTGAACCAAAATAAACTGAAGCAAACCAAATCAAAACAAACCAAACCGAACCGAACCAAAGCAGCGCACACAAGAGTCCAGGCACGAGACCAGCCGTCTCCCGCGGGCCTGGCCATGACGCTGCAGTTCTGCCTGATTAGCGGGCGTGGAGGTGGCTGGCTTCACCTGAATACTCTCAGGACTCCCCAGCTCTCAGAGTGAGGCCCCAGGGGGGGCGGGCGAAGGCAGAGATGGTTCCGGGAGCCTCAAGCCCCACGTGCTGCTGGAGCTAAGGCACCAAGGAGAGCTGAGCCCTAGACCTGCCCCACTCCTGCTTTCAGGCTGTGCAGGGGGATGGGGAGATGGGGGGGGGGGGCGGGCAGGGACAGGACCCTGGATGACCAAGCCAGGCCCAGAGAGTGAGGCGGTTCTCCCTGGGCAGCTGACCTTGAGAAAGGCAGAGAGGCCACATCCGGTGGGCATGTGCCCAAACCAGGGAGCCTGGGCAGAGCCACCCTGTGAAGGAGTGGGAAGGGTTGCGTGAATCCCCTGCTCAGTTCTAGGCATCCTGGGCAGGGGGCAGGGGGAAGACACAGAAGGGGATGGAGGGGACAGGACTGGCTCCACCACAGGCCTGGAGGAAACCAGGGCACCTGAATGCAATGTCCAGTGTTGGTTGGCCAAGAAGGTCCTGGCAGCCACACATCCTCTAGATTTTCCCCCGGGGCCATCTTGCAGGCAATAGTTGGGGAAACTGAGGCAACTGAGAAGGACATTCTGTGCTGGGTCTCAGCTGAGCTCCTTCTAACAGAGAGGTGTGCAGGAAAGCGTCTGAGACGGGGCCCTCCACCCCGCACCACGGCACTGGTGAGTCGGTCCTCACGTCTGTGCTCTGTGGAACCCATAGCCCCGCCTTTGCTCATTCAGGCCTCAGCATTGAGCTAGCATGCCGTGAGTCCTGGCCCCCTACCGCCCCACACACACACCGTTCCTCGTCTGGGTGCAGGGGTTCTGTCTGAAGATGGCCTCCAGACTCCCCCATTTTATTTTATGTTTCATTTTGCAGCGGTGGATTGAACCCTGGCCCTTATACAAGGCAGGCAACGGCTCTCCTGGGGAGCCATTCTCCGGGACACCCCACCCACTGCTGTTCTATGTTGTTCATTGTCACTGTCACTACTGTCCTCCCGTTGTTCACATAGATTTGCTGGAGCGGGCCCAGTAACGTCTCCATTGTGAGACTTGTTGTTACTGTGTTTGGAATATCGAATATGTCACCGGTAGCTTGCCAGGCTTTGCCGTGCAGGGGAGATACTCTCAGTAGCTTGCCGGGCTCTCTGAGAAGGGCGGAGGAATCGAACCCAGCTCGGTCGGGCCAGCCGCATGCAAGGCAAACGCCCTACCCACTGTGCTACCGCTCCCGCCCTTATTGCTTATTAAAATGAAAAAATGAAATGAAAACGGAATGGAATGAATGAAGGAAAAAAGGAAGAAAAAAATGAAAAAGGAAGTCCAGAGAGTAATAGCACAGAGGCTAAGCTTCCGGCCTTGCATGCAGCATCACCTGCCTCCTCGGCCCCTGCCCACCGCCCACTGCTGCTGGTTTCATCCCCAGCACCACCGAGGGTCCTCTGAGCACCAAAAGGAGGAAGCCCTGAGCACTGCCAGCCGCGGCCCCAAAAGCCAAGTGGGTGAAGGAGCCAGTATCACACCAGCGGAATGTTCCGGTCACCGTGGGACATTCCCGGCGAGTGCCAGCACAAGTCGGCCACTTTCCCCACATCCGGGGATCAGTCACGGGGAGGGGGGTGGGGGACTACTCTAAGTTTAGCTCCTGGGACTTGCCTGGCGCGGCAGGTGGAAACACGGCTGACTTTAATGGGAAGCAAACACACCAGGGCCCAGGGCAGGCTCCAAGCTGGCGGGGAGGCGGAAAGTGCGTGGAGGTCCGGCTGGACAAGCCCCTCTCCTGGGACGCAGGCCCTGGGGGGCTCTGGGAGGCAGGGCTGAGGCTGGCAAGGCCCCTGGTGCAGACACAAAGGAAATATTCCAGCTCTGTCCTGCCTGGCAACCTGCAGCTTCCTGCCCCACCCCTGGCCCCAAGAGCTTTGCCCTGAGAGAGGCCCCTGAGACCCACCGAGGCTCAACAAGCCCAGTTTTGCAAACAAGAGTAGCAGCGAGCCCGGCACTGGCTCGCAGGCCTTTCCCAGTGGAAAAGGAGAGGCTGGGCCAGGTCACCTGGTCATGTTGGGGGGGCAGGTCAATCTTTTGGTTTGGTTTGGGGCCATTACCAGGTTGTGCTCAGGAGCTATGCCTCCTGGCTCTGTGCTTGGAGTGTGTGTGTGTGTGTGTGTGTGTGTGTGTGTGTGTGTGTGTGTGGCGGGGTGGGGGGGGGCGGCATTGGTCACTCCCTTTGGTGCTTGGGGGACCATGCGGTTTTGGGTATGGAGCCCTGGTCTCCGGCATGCAAAGTCTCGGCTCAGCCCATTGGGCCATCTTTCTGGCCCTTTTGGATTGGGTTGGGGGCTGCACCCTTTGGTGCCGGCACGAGGAGGGGAGGTTTCTCCCCTGTTTGGTGCTCGGGGGACCATGTGGTGCCAGGATGGACATGGGTAAAGCTGAGGCTTGGGCCCTCTGAGCATCTTTGACGTCCAGGTCTGCATCTCCAGGGACAGGTTTGGCCTGGGGTCTCTCTGCCTCCTGTCTCCCCCTTCACCCCCTTCCTCCAGTGCCTCTGAGCTCCCTCTCTGTCTCTGAGCCCCAGGAGGCGGGCTCCCTGTAAATACAACCCAGGGGAAGACGGTTCTGTCGCCAGCCCGGCACCCTCACAAGTGATTATTAGAGGCAGATCACAGCAATTAAGCAAATCAGGAAACAAGGGGTGGGCAGGGCGGCAGATTACCAGTTCCAGCTTGCAGAGGGACTGGCACCCCCATAAGCCTCCCCTCAGCAGAGAGCCTTGGAGACTGCGACCTCCATTGTGGGAAGAGGGGGTCTTGCTAGGGGTCAGGGGTCAAAGGCCACCTTTGTCTCCAGCTGTAGGATGGGGCGCCCCTAACCCAGCCCCTCTCCTGCCATACCCTTGTTCCTGAGCTTGTCACCCTTCCACCCATCAGCCTTTGTCCCCCCCTCCAGACTGTCCAAGCGCCCAGAGACCTGGGTTGACCACCGGTGGTCCTAGTTGGCCACCAGCCCGCCATGCACACTTGGCCAAGCCGCTTTCTTCTCTGGATCCTGCTTCTGTCTGCCTGTCCCGAGCAGCCCCAGCTGACAACTTGTCATCACCATGTCATGTCACCCACAGGCTGACAGCCAGGATGGCGTCTGGGTCCCTTTCTCAAAAGACCTGAGGGCTTAGCAGAAGCTGTGTGCGCCAGGTAGCAGGGTAATCCGAGGGGCATTCCCTCTGCAGACCAGAGGGGCAGGGATTTGGGTAGGGGTGGCAGCCAACTGGGCATCTCCCACCTGCCAACCACCAGCCCGGCCAGGGCCAGTTAGGGACTCCCATAGACACCGCAAGGGCCCCTCTCCTACCTGGTCTTGGCGGCTGGACAGTCTTCTGAGGAGGGGGTGGCTTCACCGGGAGGACAGTTTCCCCCTCCAGACACACACACATATACACACATGCATGCAGTGTGCACTGTGGTCAGAGGCACATGCTAAGCGCTGGGTCCCACCACCATCCCCCACCCTGACAGCAGGGGGCAGCCGGAAATGTGATGAGTAATTAAGTGACCATGGGATCCAGTATTCTCCCAGAAGCCCTCTCCTACCCCGGTCACCATGGGGACTGGACTGATTAGAGAGGGGCAGTGGAGGGGGGGAGCAGGGGATCAGACCCCCTGGGCTGGGAAGCCCCCTGCCTTCTTCCCAGCTGTGATAGGCAGGAACTTCCCCCAATTACCAGATGCAACGAGCAGGCAGAAAGTCTTGTAAGTGACCCTCTGGACTTCATCTCCCCGTTTCCAGCCCAAATGCCTAAACTAATGGGGAGGGGGTGCTAATCACGGGGTGAGGGATGCTGCCAAAAGCTAGGTCCCAGGACAGAAAGAGGCTGTCTGGAGGACTGGAGCAGGGGCCAGACTGATTGACCGGGACTTGACTTCCAGGCTGGACCCGAAAACCACCGCATTCCCTGACAGCAGAACTGCAGGGCTCATATGAATAAACGCTGAATGTCCCGGCAAGCAGCGGCCTGGGCCTGGGTGCCTTCTCCCTCCTCAACCCCCAGACTGAAGATCCAGGAGCAGAGCCCCCTGTGGAATCCCATTATAAGAGAGACAGACCCTTCCTAAAAGGGGTTGGGGGATGGAGTGGGAGGGTGTGCCCAGAGGGTCTCCCAGGTGCCTCCAACCCTTTGCAGTGCTCTCTAGGGGCTGCCGGGAAGCCGCGGTACCAGGCAGAGGAAGAGGAACCCAACAGAAGAAAAAAAAAAATACGGCAGCAGCAGCGGCGGTGGTGGAGCAAGCGCCTCCCCCACCCCCTGCCCACGTTGGCTCACGCTGTTGCCTGGGATAGCCGCGGCCAAGTTGCCACAGCTCTGGGCAGAGGTAGAAACCCTCCCCCCACGCCCCATCCAACAATCCCACGTGCAGGCCCCCACACCCAAGACACGGACGCCCTCCCCCAACACACCTTAAACATCGGAACTCTGAGCTGGCAGGCGCTGGGGCGCCAGCGCCAGCAAAGTACCCCTGGGAGGCTGTGGGTGCCAGGGGCCCCGGGGAGCGGGGGAGCCAAAGACGGGCGGCAGTGGTGGCGCCCTCGAATGCCCACCCCATCCCAGAGTGCCCTCCTGGGGGTGGGGGTGGGAGCCGCGGGGGAAGGCGCACAGGCAGAAGACACCAAGCTGGGGCTGCCTTACCCAAAAGCCCAGTGCCCAGCCATCTGGCCCCGGCTTGGCCTCGGTCCCCAGCCCCGGACATCGTTCAGGTCTCTCCGGAGCGCGCCTGGGGCGCGGGGCTGGGATACGGGGCACGGGGCGCGCGGGGTGCCCGCGGTCTGCAGTGGGGCCCCCAAAGCCGGCCGCGAGAGCTCTGCGCCGCCGCTCGGAAAGTTAGCGGGGAGACAGCGCGAGGCAGGGGGAGGGCGGGAGAGGAGGAGCCGGCTGCGGGAGCGGCAGCCCAGGGCCCCGCGAGGAGAAGGAGGAGCACGCGGAGGAGGAGGAGCAGGAGGACCGGCGGGCGAGCGGGCGCAGAGGCAGCGACGCTGCGCCTCTGCTCTGGAAACGCTCCAGCCGCAGGAGGGGCGGTGGCCGCCGCCGAACCGGGCGCCCCCGCGCGCTGCGCACTCGGCCCGGCGCGCCCTGCCTGGTGGTCCCCGAGCCCGTGGAGAAGCTGGGGCGCGCGCGGACACACACACACACACACATACACACACGCGCGGACACACGCGGACACACACACACGCATGCACACACGCGCGCGCGCACACTCCGGAGCCGCACCGGGGTGGCTCAGCCCACCGCATCCCATGCACCGAGGTGCCTGGGAGATAGGTGGGGTGGGACGGGGGTGGGGACGGGGAGACGCCGCGCGGCGGAGGCGTAGGGACGGTGCGTTGGGGTATTGGGAACACGGCTAGCTAGGTCCCCTGGAGTGTCTGCCGCAGGGTTGGTGACCTCTCCCGTGGACCCGCCTGTGCGCGCGGCGCAGCCTCTGGACACTGCCGTGAAGGAATGATGGAGGAAAAGAACTTGCAGCTGCCACCGCCTGCCTCCTTATAAGTCCCGGAGCTCCCTAAGGGTCCCGCTAGACCACTCATCTTGCAGAGTCCGAGGTCCTGCACTCGCTACTTCTCAACTCAGGTCAACCCATGGAGAATCCACCCTTGAGCCGCCTCTGAGTTTATACCCAGTTATACTCCCTGGGTCTCCCTTCTGGGGTGCAGGAGACACCTGCTGACTGGGGTGGGAGGGATACGGAGGGCAGCAATCCAGCCTGGGGCTGGACAAATCAGCAAGCGTCTACCGCCAGGCTGGAGTGAGGGCCAGCTACAGTGCTCTGGGGTTGGTTTGGGGACCCCTCTCCTCAGCACCCCTCCCTCGTGCTACCCTGCAAGCCCCGTCCCTGGGTTCAATCTCAGCAGCCTTGAGCTGGAGAGCTAGAACCGTGGGCAAGGCATTTGCTTTGCACTCAGTTCACCCCAGTTCCATCCCCAGCACCCCATATGATCTGTGCCTTGAGCCCTGTCAGAAGTGATCCCTGAGCACAGAGCCAGGAGTAAGCCCTGAGCATGGTCCCCAAACAAAACAAACACCCCAAGCAAACAAACCTGGTGACCCGCGCCTGGGAGGGAGACCAAAGGGCTGAGTGTGGCTCTGCAGGGTTTGGATTCAGCCCCTGGCCTCACATGATCCCCTGAGCCCTGCCAGAAGTGACCCCCACCGCCGCTGGGTGTGGCATTTCCCCCCTCCCCCCCCAAAATTGGCAGCCTGTTCCCACCTCACGGCCTGATGCCTGTGACAGCCGCACCAACCTCCCCCGCCTGCCTCCTTCCTTCTCACCCCTGGGTCCCTGGGGGCTGCAGAGAGACCAGGGTCCCCTGACCCTTCCCGGGAAGTACTGAATGTCTCTATGCTGCGGCCTGGCCGGGGCCCGGGGGCCCGGGGCCACGGCTCTGGAGTCCCATGCCAGTGCCTTCATTTATTGGGCTATGACCTTGAGCGGTTACACAAGCTTCTGCAGAAGCCTCGCGGTGAAAGGCGCGTTCTTCAGCTCCTGGGATTGTTAAGAGCAATATGCGCCTGCGGCCAGGACAGAGGGGAGAGGGGAGGGGGATGCTCAGCCCTGGATTCCTGAGTTTAGAGCTCCTCCAGGCTCGGGCACGAGCCCCTGCTCCTGGGGATGTGGGGGCAGACAGGAGAGGTTGGTTGGGTGGGGGGGGTCCTGGAGACCAGTGTGTACCCCAGAGTCTGGAATTCCCTGCTTGAGTAACTCGACCCAGAGCAGACTTTTCCCTTGGGTTCATCCCCCCCGAGAGCTGACCCAGACAGATGTGCACCCAGAGGCTTAGGGACTGGGCGAGGGGCAGCCGTTTGCGTGGGGGTGCGTGGGGGAGGGGACAGGGCCTGGCGCCCCGTCCCAGCCTGCCGGGAGCTGAAACGGAGGGAATGAGGTCTTCTGGTGAAACCCCGGAGATCGATCACAGTCGAAGGATGGGAAGTCTGTTGGAACAGGCTTGCCTTGATGTGGAACTGACACAGAGTCCTCGGTGCCAATGAAGGCGTTGCAGCTTGGGCTGGCTGCACGGGGCTCTCTCTCAGCTCCAGCTCCTCGCAAAGTGCTCTGTGCCCCCAAAAAGCCCAGCCCCTCCACCCCAGGGAGATCGGTTTTGACACCATATCAAAGGGGCCAGGCAGGCACTCAGCAGGGCTGCGGGCACTTTATTTTTACCCGGGGTCAGATTTCCCTCCCCACAGCGGGAGGCCAGGGCGGGCCGAGGGGGAGCCAAGACCGAGGAAAGTGACCCCGACCCCGAGAGAGCGGTGGGCGGTCCCGGATATCTTTAGATGCTGTCCTGGGAGGAGGCGCCAGCTCTAGCCAGGCTCCTCCTTCCAGCTGCCTTCACCAGGCTGGGCTCCGCAGAGGGTCCCTGAAGAATCCTGCCTCTGGCCCTGCTTCCCTCCACTCCACCCCCACCCCCCCCACCCCCCGCCTGGTGGATCCAGACCCACCGGGTCACTCTCCAAGGTCAGGAGAAAGTGGCTTATGAAGAGGATTAGAACCTCCCCCTCAGCTTGACTCCCTCCCTCCACACCCCAGCTCTGCCCTACAGAACATCAGGAGACTCCCGCACTTGGGCAGGAAAAGTGTTTGAGAAAAGCATTAGCGGCTGGAGGGATTTCACATCCATAGAGCGCGGCCGAGAAATCCTCAAACCCTCACCCAGGCTTCAGGGGAGCTTCTCTCCAGCTCTGCAAACTGTCTCTGGGACTCCCTTGAGGTTCCCCCCCCAACCCCCTACTCCCAGAACCCCCAGGGTCAGGGTGGGCACGAAAAGGATTGTGCTCCTTTTGCACCTTCCTTGCAGGAAGCCCCTTGAGAGTGGAGATGTGCAGTGGACCCAGGCCCCCACCTGAATGAGGGGTGAGGAGGAATGGGCTTTAGGCTTTCAGGGTTTCCAGCTAAGAAATGCCCTGGAAAGCAGCTTTTCGGGGCTGCCGGCATAGATGGGGCCATGCCAAGGGGCTGTCAAGCTCTCCTAGACTTTAAGGAGAAAGCAATTATTTCCTGGGGCGGGGGAGGGGGGAGGGAGGGTTCTGCCAGGCTCCTTGGAAGCGGTTAGCCTGACAATCCGCTATGAAGTTTCTGGGTTGAAGTGGGGGGGTGGGGGAGGGAGAGAGAGAGAGAGAGAGAGAGAGAGAGAGAGAGACAGAGAGAGACAGAGAGACAGAGAGACAGAGAGAGACAGAGACAGAGACAGAGAGACAGAGACAGAAACAGAGACAGAGATAGGTACAGAGAGACAGAGGCAGACAAAGAAAGTGTTGGGGGGTAGGGGGGACAGGAGAGACCAGCAGTGATGGGTAGAGGCCAGCTCCTCAGCCAGACCCTAGGCCCAGAGGGAGGGTGGTCTCTGAGGCTGTTTTGAGAGGATTCCCTCCGAGTGACCAGTTAGCCGGATTCCCTTTCCCTGGCTTCTCCTCTTGCTGCGGTCAGCTGCCTGCTGACCGCCCCCCCCCCATTGTTACCTGCCTCTGCAGGTAGTAAGCTGAGCTGACTCAGCCATTTAAGAACCCAGGAGCCTGGCAGGGAGCCCCCCTCCCCCAATTTACTGGGGTGGGAGGGTGCTGGGCTGAGCTCCCCCCCATTAGAAAACGGCCCCAACTTCAGGATGGAGGCTGCTTTAATGGGTTAACTTTTGGCACCCCAATCCTTCTTGAGCTTAATTGTGGGGTGGGGGCTGCTTCCTGGACAAACTTTCCAAGGACCTCCTAGCATCTGCTCCCAGCCCTTCCCTCACTCCCGTGCCCCCCCCCACACACACACACTGCAGGTGCTGCGGGGGTTAACAGGACATTCTCAGCCTGCACCAAACCAGCCGCAGGCACGCAGCTCGGTCCAGCAAGGCGGGCTGGAGTCAAACTCTCTCTCTGAACCCTCCTCCCAGGGTCCTCTGCGGCCCAGTCTCACGGCCAAGGGGCTCTGGGGACAGGCCGATGGGCAACCATTGCCCCCCCATCGCGTCTCTCCTGCCTCCTGCCCGGTCCTGTCCAGATTGCCTCTCCGGCGAAGGGGTGGGGTAGGACCCAGACAGATGAGCTCATTGGCAGGAGGAGGGCAGAGGGAGGAGGCAGCGGTCCCTGCAGCTGGAGGTGTCCTCCGTCCCCGTCCCTGTCCCTGACTGTCCCAAGCCGGAGGGGGTGTGTGCTCCGGACAGCTCCGAGCAGCGTGAGTCCCCGGGGCACTTGGGGGAGGGCTGGGACATCCCGGGGCTGGGTCCCCGCACCCCAGGCCTGTGCTCCTTCTCTGCTTCATGCCCCAAAGGAGAATGGGGGTTCAGGAGGGCCGCTGAGCGGGGGACAGCTGGAGACTTAGGGAGGGTTTATCCTCCCGGGCAGCCTGGCCCTAATGCCCTCTCAGAAGCTGGTCCCAGGTTCTGCAGCTGGGGGCTGAGAACAGCAGGTAGACCTGGAGGAGGCTCCTGGCTGGGCTCCCTGTCCATGGCCTGCCCTGTGCCCTGTGTGTGTGTGGGGGGGGTGGGCAGCAATGTTGATCGGGGGGCACTCTGAATGGAGGGGGATGAGACAGAGGCAAGCCTTCCTGGAGGACGAGGGGGGCTTGAGGAAGTTGGGGTGTGGGACATGGGGTACAGAGCCCCGGCCTGTGGGCTGAGGTAGGGGTTCTGGTGTCCAGAGGAAGGCGGTGGGCGGCAGGAGATGACGGTCAGGGGACAGAGCTGCTTGCCAGGAGCTAACCTAGGGCCCAGGGTGCTTGCCGGGCAGGGCTGGGGGCAGAGGGCCCTGAGAGGGCTTCGCCTTTACCTCCAGGCCCCTCAATCCCCCCTCACTGCCCAGGGGCATTCCGAGTGGGCTCCTTTGGACCACCCTCCCCCTACTTGTGGGTGCCCCGGCACCCCATGCTCCAGGCCTGCCTCTGTGTGTTCATCATTTAGGGCAGAGCTGTGCTCTCTGGAGCCGAGAAAGGGAGAAGAAACGTGCACCCCTAGGGTAGACCC